TTTTGATAGTGATTTTAATCACTGTCAGATATCATTATACTTGATCCAACTATGCCACGTCACCACTGTGCCGCGACCCCCCTGTGCTGGGTTTTTTAGTTTGATGTGCTTTAAAAGCGTGTTTTTTTAGTTTTTTTAAACTATATTTATTTTTTTTGTGCTGGATTTTCTATTATTACAAGATTTTCAAATATTGTAAGTTTTGATTTTTTTATAACTTTAACCAAATAATTTTGCCATAATAATTTTTAGATCATTATTTTGGATAATATAATTAGCTTTTGTAATAGCGATTGTAGTATCTGAATCAAATTTTGAAATAACGTCTTGAATTTTTTCGAAATTGTCACAACAGTATTCGACTGCGCCACTGAGTAATAATTAGCTTAGGTGGAAGACATTAACAAGAATATAACTCCTAAAATTTTATTATTCTGCTTGGACTTACACGTGAAATGTGTATGTTAAATGTAACATTTTCGGATAAAATTCTTAAATTCGGATAAATATTTTCTAAATTTCTTAATATTATTTTCTTAATTCGGATAATTAGAATTTTTTCAGCTTTAAGCATACATGACGCAGCAGCTGTTAAAAACAAAATAACGTTTTCTTACTTTACGCCTTGTTGCCATAATAAACCCATCTTATCATTAAAAACTGGTGCAATTAAGTGGTGTATATATACCAGTGGTTTTCAACCTTTTTTACAATGCGGCACACTTCATTTCCTACAAAATTTACGGGGCACACCAATCCATATAATATGCACATATTTTTATATATAATATGTATATATATATATACTTTTACAATCTTCTCTATTAGAGGGTTGATTATTGTAAATTGAATAAAATAATACAATAATGAAAAATTTGTTAGAAGAAATATGTATTTTAAATAATAATGTACATTGAAATGGTATTAATGAGACATTTGTGCCTGTCGTTTTGTGCATAAATGTTTTATTCGAAGGCGAATGGTAGACAAACTGACTCTTAGCTCTTCTTCAACAGATTGAAGTCGTTCTCTTTTTTTACTTTTTATTGTTGTGACTGCTGAGAATCCTTGTTCACATAAGTACGATATGGAGAATGGTAGTAAAATTTTTATTGCTTTTATTGATATTTCAGGAAATTCTGCTTGAGAATAAATCCAAAATTTGTTTAGGACCATTTCTTTAAATTTCAACATTAATGTTCTATCATTTTTCAGTGAAACAAGATTGTCTTCTTCAGCGAATGTTAGACCAATGACCTCGCCAACTGCCACACTAAATGGGTTTCGCACCCAGTCATAGGTTTCAATATTTATGCTAGGAAAGTATTTTTTCATTTAATATGATAGATTCGCTTATTAACGATATGAGAGTAGTGTCTACATCTCGTTCTGCAGTTCNTCTAGATGTCTACATCTCGTTCTGCAGTTCGTGGGAACATAGTCAATTTTTTTTTATCAACTTGAGTTTTCCACATAGTTAATTTTTCATGAAAAGCCATCATTTTGTCAGATGATGTTAGGATATTTTCGTTACGACCTTGCATACTTGTATTTAATTTATTCAAAAGTTCAAAAATATCAGTTAAAAAAGAAACTTTTGTCCACCACTTTTCATCTCCAAGAAAATCGTATTTCGATTCTTCTATTGTTAAAAATACAATTATTTCTTCTCTCAAATCATAAAAACGTGATAATACCCGGCCTCTTGATAACCATCTTATTGCACTGTGAAAAAGTAACTTTGATTTATCTGAATCCATACCTTCACAATTTTTTTCAAATAACCTCGACTTAAGTGAACTACTTTTAATAAAATTTATCACTTTCACAACTTGAACCAAAACTTCTCTTAAATCACCTACCAACGTTTTTACCACAAGGGCTTCTCTATGTAGAAAACAATGGGTAAAAATAATATTTTCATTTTTTTCCTTAGCAAAAGAAATAAAGCCTTTGACTGAGCCAGTCATCGCGGGAGCTCCGTCGGTACATNATTTAATTTATTCAAAAGTTCAAAAATATCAGTTAAAAAAGAAACTTTTGTCCACCACTTTTCATCTCCAAGAAAATCGTATTTCGATTCTTCTATTGTTAAAAATACAATTATTTCTTCTCTCAAATCATAAAAACGTGATAATACCCGGCCTCTTGATAACCATCTTATTGCACTGTGAAAAAGTAACTTTGATTTATCTGAATCCATACCTTCACAAATTTTTTCAAATAATCTCGACTTAAGTGAAAAAAATGGAGAGTCACGAGATTGTTGCAATACTTGTTCTTCAATATCTTCAGACATGTGCTCTATACGCCTACTGATGGTGTTGTCAGATATAGGAATTTTCAATACTTCTTTTTCAGCTTCTTCACCAAAAAGTGCTTTTACAATTTCACAGCAAGCAGGTAAAATAAGTTTTTCTGCTATAGTGTGAGGTTTCATTTGTTTAGCTACAAGCTCTGCTACTAGATAACTAGCTTCTTGAGTTTTATCAGAAATGGTTACCATTTTTGTCATTTTTTTAGATTGTCGTGTTTCTGATTTTAGTAAACGTTGAAAATATGAAGCATCTTTATCAGCCAAATGAGAATGCTTGGTGGAAAAATGTCGTTTAAGTTTACTTGGAACCATTGATTCGTTGGATAATTTTTCGCCACATACAAGACACCATGGACAGATGATCCTTGTTCATTTCCGGACCAAGAAAATCCTATGTTTAAATAATCTTCATGATATTGACGTCTGATATTTAATTTAGCTTTTTTCTTTGGTGTTTCACTCACTGAAGTGCCGTCAGTTGAACGAATTATAAATGCATCCATTACAAAAAATACTATTTAAGTGTTATTTAAGTAAAATTATCAGTGCGATCGAGACGGCTGCGATGGTCAAACTAACATTAAATACTATTATAGTATTATGCGTATCTACGATTAATGATAAGCGATTAGCCTATGTTTATGTTTGTTAGTTATCCCTTTTCACCAAATATCGATAATAATACAGGTATCCATAAAATTATAAAACTATAAATATATTTATCGCGGCACACCGTTGAAAACCATTGATATATACGAACGAAAACGACTATACGAATAGTTTAAAAAACTATTCGATAGTTTATGCTAAAAATAAACTATTCGGTTGTATACACAATTCGAATAGTTATTCGATAGTTTAAAATATTCGAAAATGCACATCACTAATAGAAATGTTTGGCCTCAAAAAAGAAAGTATTTATTTGGCTTCAATCGTTATCATCAGTTATAAACCTAGTTTGTTATCTTATTTATTATGTCCTTGTCTATTAATGCAAACCGAGAGAACAAAATTCTAAGTAAGCAGTAATTAATGATAGTAGTAATTATTGGTATGTCTTTATATTTTACTGATCATTTTGTTCAAAAATACGAAATATTTATAAAATATTAACTTATCGGTAAAATATTTTAATAATATGTATTTTTTTTTTAACACTTTATAAGCCCATTAAGGATCACCATAGCGGGCTCCTTTAATGGAGGTGGTTTCTAAACAATTGATTCACCGGGAGGGGTGGTTAGCTCGTCGCCAGTGATACGACTCCTATTACCGAACTGATCTCTCTTTCGGCAAATAAAGCCGCCCGTGACCGAGTTTCGAGGCACTGCTCCGCGTTACCGACTCGGCCACATCGTCTCAATAAAACAAAATATGTATTTATATCAAAATATTTGAAAATACTAGTATGTAAAATATTTAAATTTATTCGAGGTGTTTTGAAACGTGCTCATTTGTAGTCGGAAGTTAAAAAATCTACATGCAATAAAATTATGAATTTACATCAAAATTCAAGTCCTAATTAACTCAATAATACTTATGTACACATTAAATATGGACATTCATACTTTAAAATATAAAAATTACTACTAAGTATTGTTAATCTACAATATATCGATCATCTAGACTCTAGAGTATATTCAATAATGAAGCATATATAGTATTCACACTAACCTTATTTGTTAGCATGCTTTTTCTGCGAAGACTATCCTGTCCCCCACAAATTACGCCATTGGCTTAAAGCTAACAGACTAAACCACTGGTTTTGTCTGTTAATACAATAACACGTAATTGCTAAGTTGTGAGTTATTCAGAAAAAAAAAACAAAAAATTAATCATAAACACATAGACAATAAAAATAGTTAAACATCATCGTAAAACAGTAATTTTACAACGAAATACTTTTTAAACAAAAAAATTTCATTAAAAAAAAATGATGTATTGTTATGTATTGTTATGTGATATTATAGTTAATGTTGCGATGTATGTCATTATAACATTATAAATTTATAGCTGCAAAATTATACTGTATATTATAATAACTTTATTGTAAAATAAAAATTTATTTTTAATTAACAATTTAATTGTTAATAATATAAAGATATTATAACCACTTAACCTAGATGACTGTAACATTTTAGAGTTTCCATTATGGCCGAAGAATGTGATAAAAACGAAGAAAAATATTTACTTAAAAATGGTCGATTACTTCTCAAAGAAATGTTCGATGGATTATCTTACACTTATCCTCAGTTAGATGTTTATCCAGAGAGCCACGTAATAGTACTAAGACCAGTTAGTGATTATTTTAAAGTCTTCAAGTTATGATTTTTTATTTTAAGCTAGTAGGCTAATTATGAAAAGCGCCAAGACAATTCAAAATGAGTTATGAGTTATTAACAAATAAAATATTCATCAGTTTTAATCGGAATAAAATAATTGTTCCGAATTTAAATTAACTAAAATTGTATACATTAAAAAAAATCAAATATTCAGGGGAAAAATTATTACCAGCTTTGTGGTTATTAATTTTCCTTATTGATCCAATTTCATTATAAAATATCTCAGCACTTTTTACAATTGGACTACTCAAATATTTTTTTTGTTATTTAATTTTATTATCTCAATATAAATTTAAATATTATAGACAAATGGAAACCGAGTAAATCTACTTGCAGGCGGTGGATCTGGACACGAACCATATCCTTTCGGTACTATCTATAATTATTTATTATTAATTGTGATTTGTTTAAAAATTTTCAAATATAGTTTTTTAAAACTCTCCTTTACTTAGATTCTTCTCATAGCAAATGAAGTACTAAAAATCAGCGCTTTAAGTGTAGAGGCTACTTTTGTAGCCTTGTCACGCTATGTTATTTTATAAGATAACAATTTTTTAAACAAAACTATTAAATTACAAACATCTTATTTGTAAAATTATTATTTTACAAAGTCATTTAATACATCACATTTTTACTTAAACATTAGAGTGTTGATTAGATGATAAAATGATTACCTAAAAATAAAAAATGAACTTTTGATTCTCTAATTCAAATGTTTTCTGTAGGGTATGTTGGAAATGGAATGTTATCAGCCTGTGTCAGCGGTCACGTGTTTACATGTTGCTCTTCTTTAAATATATACCAGGCAATTAAATATCTACATAATTACAGCAGTGAGTTTTAATAATATTCAATTTTTAATAAATTGATTTTATTAAGTAATACATATCAAATTATTTCAGAAAAATCAGCTATTTTATTAATCGTGGCTAATTATACTGGAGATGTTTTTAATTTTGGATTAGCTTGTGAAAAAGCTAAAAAACTTGACAATATTGAAGTAAAAAAAAAAAGAATATAGTCTACGAATAAATGTTTTGTCCTATGGAAAAGGGGCGTATGTTAATTTGATTAATTTTTCAAGAGCACTCTAAAATTTTAATTACATGTATTATAGGAAATTCCTTTTTATGTAATTATTTTTTTGGCAAATTATTTTTCTGAATTAAATTACCTAAATCATAATATACAGTAAATGATTAATTACAATTTTTTGCGAAAATTGTAAAAAGTTGTTTTAAGCCCCTTTTTCTTAGAAACAAAGATACATTTTTCTATATTGACTCAAAATTATTAATTCTAAATCGATGTATTTTAGGTTGCTGAAATAGTGATTGCTGACGATTGTTCAAGGTCTGGTGGCAAAGTTGGGAAAAGAGGCATGTGTGGACTATTATATGTATTGAAAGTAATAATAATAATTAATAAAAATAATAATTAATATATAAGTAATATGATATTATGTTATATAATTTACTAATTTCAAACAAGAGCGCCTTAACTAATTTTTTGACATGGTAGGGGGCAAACATTTACAGACTAAATTCAATTCCCATGATTGTTAGAAAGCTAAAATAAGCGGGTACGGGTCTTTAATCCAACCCGCGGCTGTTATACAGAACGCGCTAAATATACCCTCTGTGTAAGCCGATAGTTTAATTTATACTTATTCTATATATTTATTATTCAATTATTAAATATTATTATAATATGGTGTATACTACCAGTTTCGTTGTTTCAATAAAATTGACTGTTGACTTCGACGGTTGAAAAGATAAAAAAGTGATTTATGTCTTAAAATTACTATATAATACAATACATTATTGTATAATATAATTCATGTTTATAAAATATATATATTTTTTTACTTTTAAAAGCACGCATTTATGTTGTTTGATTCATATACAGAGTGACTGATTTATCATTATCCACTAAGTTTCATTAACTTTCAGAAACTATCTAGTTCAATTTGTGGGACATTCAAAATCAAAGTTTTTTAACACAATATATTTAATTAAATTAAACATTAAAATTTAGAAGAATAAAATTAAAGTGCTGAATAAAAAACAAATTTAATTGTTGACAAAAACTTGATTGCAATTTTACTTTGGTCAACAAAATTTGCTAGACTCAATTAAAATATCATAACAATAAACATAATACTATGTGATACACACAAAATCTGATCGATAATAATCGATTATTTTTTTTAGTAAAATTATTAAAGAAAATTAAAAACATCCTGATCTTTAATAATAATTTTTTTTAGATTTAATTGGAGGAGTATGATACTTTTTCCCTCCCATATTTTAACTAAGGCCAACTTCCCCTCGATTCCGGCGCCACTAATTTTAAAATACTGAATGTCATAATTAGGCTAGGAACAAAATGCATTTATAAGTTTTGTTTGAAATTTAGACATTCCCTAGTCTATGCAACTTTGTAATAAAATTATATAATATCATAGAAATATTGTTCATTTTAAGTGGCATAAACCCCTTAATCCCGTCAAAATTATAACCTTGATAACAACATATTATGTTTCTGAGTTAATTTAAAAAAAATTTACGGAGTGATAGTATGTTCAGAATAACTTAACATAATTTATAAATGCTTTTGTTCCTAGCCCTAGTCATAACTTTTATTGATTTCTACTTGGGTAAATTATAAATAATTTTTATTGCTTTTTTATAAAGATATTGGGAGCTATGGCTAGGCAAGGTTCAAGCCTTGCAGAACTTGTGGTTGTTGGAAAAAATTTAAATAGCAAAATGGCATCTTTAGGACTTTGTGCTAGTTCATGTAACATTCCGGGTGAAGAACCATCTTTTATACTAAATAGAGGGGAATTTGAGTTTGGAGTTGGATTGCATGGTGAAGCTGGAACATCAAGAATTAAAGTAATGTTTTGTATTTTGCAGCTTTTTAGACAACTATTACTTGTCTTTCTTAACAGCAGAATCGATTTCTAAATTTATGATTTATAATTGTTTTGTAGGTATCAGATAGTAGAGAGTTAATTTATTTGGCTGTGGATAAAATATGCAATACTCTAAAATTAAACGAATCGAGTGTTGTGTGCTTAATTATTAACAATTTAGGTACAGTATCCCATATTGAATTAGGTGCTATTGCCAAATACACTAAGGAATATTTTGGTAAATATAAAAGGTTTTATTTATTATTCAGTAATTTTACTAAAATAATATTTTAGATTACATTATAAATTATAATATTACATATATAATAGTATATAGATTATAATTTATAATCTATTAGAAAAAACTCAGGATCTGACTGATCTACTGTACTACTGCTATAGCACAGCTGTCTCGTTGAATTAACGAGTGGCCGAGTATTGAAAATGTTGTCACAACCGAACCCCTTAAACGTCCTTTAATCCATTAATATTATTATTTTTGTTTATATTTAGACTATGATTTTTATTAATTTTTCTATCTGTTTGGGGCTGATGATGAAAATAACGTTCCCAAAATACGCGTATTTTTTCAATTGCTTTTTGTGAAGTTGAGTTTTTATTAATTTTTTCTTTCATATTGTATGATAAAACATTTTTATTAGAAAGTTTATTTAAATAATTATATAACTGTTTCCCTAATTTTTTTTAATTTTTTCTTTTTCAAATAACACTTTTTCATGATAAGAAAAACAAAAGGTTTTTGGTTTCTGATCGATTTTTTTCTAGTACAATGAACTAAACAAAGTTTAGTCTGGCCCAGGCTTTACTTAATTTATTTACACATGTACATAATTATTAATATTTTTTTTAGACTCGCTAAAAATAGAGATACGGCGATTATTTATAGGCACATTCATCGTTTCTCTAAATATGTACGGGTTTCAGTTAAGCGTTCTTGATGTAACAAATAATCAAGAATGGATCGACTGTATAGATGAAGAAACTTCTGCGTTTGCTTGGCCAGGAAGTCATATGAGCGTGAAAATAGATAAAAGAGCAGCTGATGTCATTGAAATACCAACTCTAGAAAAATTGCCTACTAATGTATATAACAATTATCAAAAAATTTATACAAAAATTCTTTCAAAAAAAGTTATTGTCATAACTCTTATATTTTATTTAAAGCTTTTAATTCAATAAATTCTATAGTAAACAGTGTCCTAGAGAAGCAACTTTAAAAATCATAAGTCATATTTATAAAAAAAAGTATTAACTTACTGTAATTTAACTGATTAAAAGAAAAATAATAATATTTAAGACTTAAGTAATAAATCCAATAAATATTCTTAATGCAATTTTAGGTCCGAAAAAATATTTATGGAGTCGCTACTTATATATTTAAATAATTATAATTATTCCAATAAAATGAAAAAAATATTCATTAAAAATATTTTCCTTTTTCATTTAGCAAGGTGCACGTATAACTGAACAAAACGCTTTAATTTTTAAAAAAATGTTGAAAACTATCGGAGAGGTAATGTTGGATAATGTGGAATACCTAAACAAGTTAGATCAAGAAATTGGAGATGGAGACAATGGTACCACCATATCACGATTTGCTTCTGGTAAATTGTAATTATTGGATAAACTGATACATTTAATATAATAAAATTATATATGATATAATTTAAATAAAAGAATTACTAAATGTCTTGGACAAACTTCCGTTGAGGTATCCAGCAAGTGTTCTAAATTCATTAGCATTAATATGCGAAGATAAAATGGGTGGTGCATCAGGTGCTCTCTATAGTTTGCTGTTATATGGGGCTTCTGGACACCTAGCATCTTCAGATCGATTGGATTGGACAGGTGCCCTAAGTCAAGCTCTAAAAACAGCTATGAAGTATTCAAGCGCTAGAAAGGGGGATAAAACTATGGTGAGAAAAACAATATTATTATTAAAAAAAAAAAATTGTTCATAAATGTTTTTGGTTCTTCAGTTTGATCCTCTTATAGCTATTGAAGAAGTTTTTAAAGATTACAATTCTAAATTGTTATCTAATCCTGATGAAGGTGTATATGCCAAAGTAATAGAAATCGCATTGAATAAGGTTCAAAGTGTTTGTAATGATTTGAAAGGAATAAAAGCCGAGTAAGTAGTAGTAAATATAGAAACCATTCCAATTAATCTAATATGTATTTTTGTCTTATATAGGTTTGGTAAAGCATCTTACGTAGAAAGTGTAACATCAATCGGTAAAATGGATGCTGGAGCACAAGGGGTTGCGTTATGGTTTGAAGCCATCAGTAATACGTTAATGAAATCTTAGAACAAATAATAATAATAACAAAACAACTAAATTCTAAATTTAAAAAAATTTCACAATTATTTTTACTATTATATTTAATCACATCGATCAAAGTAAATAAATGTATTAATAATCAAAAGTAAGTTGAAATTTTAACGATAAAATTAATCAATGAAATAGAACATTAGTTATTAAGACGGATTGTACTGTTTCAAAAAACAAATGTGCAGCCTAGAGAAAAAAAGTAGGTTAATAAATTCATTATAATATGAATATTAAAGATATAAATGAGTTATGAATGGTGGCCATTAACTAGTTAAGTTAAAAAGTTTAAAAAATTTTAATTTTTCAACTTGACTACTTAATTATTTTTCTAATAAACTTTTCAACTTAACTAATTTAATTTTCTATTGAAATGACTTAGCTTTTATCAGTTAATTTGTTAAAATAACCGTTAAGCTAAATTCAAAACTTCATAAAAATGTATGTCTTACGCTGCGTATGTGTTTTAATTTAAAAAAATCGAATTTTTCTCTATACCACATATTATAGTTATATAACAATAATTTTCTGAATTTTTTCAAAAATATATGTGATTTTTAACTGATTTTTTTTTATTATTAGTTTTAAAGATAAAAAAGTGCAACCAACACCAAAATGTACAAAACAAATAAAAAAATGTTTTGTTATCATTAATATTTTCTTCCTATTCAGTTAAGAATCGATTCTTGGCTTTCCCTTGCATCACCGACCTAAAAAAATGATTTTAAGAGATTTTAGCCAAAAAATTAATTTAAAATAAATTGAACTTTTTTTAAACTAAAATTTTTTTTAAAAAAAAATTTTAACTTGTCTTTTTACTTAGCTAGTTAAATTTATAATTTGTTAACTTTTAACTGTTAATTTATCGACATTGTTCATACTTAACTTAACTCGAGTTGATTATTTCTATTAACTTGTCGATCCTTGTGAGTCACAAAAATATGACAAATTCAATAACTTTTGACACGATAATAATTTTGCTGACATTTTGTTTTAAACAATTTTTGCATATTTAATTTTTTCATAATTTATTATATTGAATTATTTTATTTAAACTAAATATAAATTAATTTAACCTGAATTATGTTTAAATTTTACGAGAAAATTTTAAATAATTTGACAAGGCGATAGTTTAGTAGAACAATAGCATGCAAGTCGTACTTTAAAAATTACTACTAGTATTGCATAAAATCATTTTCAGCTATCATTTCTACTATTGTCACGCGATCGCAGCTTCAAAAATAATTATCATATTCTTTATATTTAATCCAAGGGAATTAACTGGATGAATATTATTTTTTTTTATTCCTAGCCGTCGTACCTCTGATAGTATCATTAACTACATAATATACAGACTGAATCACGACTATATTACAAATTAAATAATTATGTGTGAAGTTACTATATTTAAAATGTTTTGTATTATATTTTGCAAAGACAAAAAATATTTTTAAAATAAATTTTTTTAAGGTTTGAAGATAGTTATTTTATAGATTAGTTTAAAAGAAAAGTGTTGATACCCAGAACTTTAATTCTAATTCAGCAGTTACGTTTAACTACTTAGTATCAACATTTTTCTTTTAAACTTATCTATAAAATGGCTATTTTCAAGTTTAAAAAAAACAGTGCGGATGCAGTGTAACTTCTTTCAGTCATTTAACTGATAAAATATTAGGTTTACATTGGAATAAAATAAAAAAATACACTTAAAAATTTTATTTCCAATTGAAATTAATTAAATTTATTATTAATTTTCTTATTCTATTGCTACGCAAAATATAATGGGCTTATGATAACTGAAATAATGTAAGTTTTTGATTAGATATTATAAAGATGTTGCGTGATCTATTGTGGCTCTTTAAAATTTTGTACGTACAATTAAAATTATTTGACATTAAAATATTTAAAACATTTTAAATAAAATAACTTTAATTTTCAAAAATACAGTGCTAAATTATAATATAAAATATACTTTACAGCTGACCATGATGCCCGATAATATTTTTTTTTCGAACCCTCTGTAAAGAAGTTTCACTTCAATAAATTAAAAAATATTTTTTGTAATTGCGAAAAATAATATAAAACATATTTTAAATATAGTTCTATATTGTAAAAATTAATTTAAAAATAAAGTATAAAATCTGATGCAGATCATAAATTATATATATGAATTGTCAGTTATATCTATTCCACTCTATATATATTATTGTTTTTCCTTAGAATATAAGGTATTCATATTTGGTATCAAAATTTCTTGAACACCTATTCTGAAATAAAATTTTTTCTATAAAATTTTGAAAATGACGCACTGTCCCCAAGTGAGAAGAAAGTGTATTATATGGATATATTTTTGTATAGAAATGTACAAGTTAATCAACGGGTGTAAAAATATACTAAATAAAATTCTATAAATTCTTTTTTTTAAGAGTTAAAATATCTCTTACTTTTTTAAAAATATTAAAATAAAAATGTTTGGTGTAATCAAACTTTTGATTTCTAATATGCGTGTTTAAATAAAATCTATCTCATTAATCTTGCATAATATTAAAAAATATTTTTCTTTTACATCAGACTTTTGATCATAAACTTAAATAATTATTTTAATTATAATTAACAATAATTTTGATTTTCTAAACTATAAATCCTTTTTAACAAATAAATCAGACTTTTAGAAACATATCTTCATTACTTGTTGAATAAAAATAATTAATTTAATTTAAACATAAAAATAAAACAAATATATTTATAAAACAGCTTATCATACATATAATTTCTATGTATAGATATTTCTGAAACTAATATTGCACATATTGACTTAGAAGACTTTGCTAGTCTTAAACGTTGGATGTTCTTGGACCATAAAGAATACCTATATGAAGTTAATATTCAGTGTTAATTGAATTTTAAAAGTTTAATGATAATAAATGTCAATTTTTTTGTGAATAATGTTTGCACCTGCTCCAGAATTATGTGACGCACTTTCCTCTTGATAATTATTTCATTTATATGGGTCAATGATTATTATACTTATTTTACGAATAAATATAATTAATATGACACACAAACACATATTTAATATATTTTATGTATGGAATGGTACGTTTTTAAAAATAATTCGTTGAGTTATAAGTATCCTTTTTGTTTAATATGTCATATCACAAATGTTGATAAGGAAAAGTGAACATTTTTAATCAGGCATCATTACTAGGATTTTGCTAATGCAGTTTTTGTCGAATACTTAAAATGGCTCAGAGTGATGTTAAGTATAATTTCATAGTATCAGTTACAATTGACGTGTCTATTAGCATTCAGACCATAATAATGCATTTACTCCAAAGAAGCACTTACCCTATCTGACCCAACCATCTGAATATGTTCACAATACTATTGTGATAGTGATATTAAATATGTGTATGGTAAAATGACAGTAACTATCATGTCCTACTAACGTCGTGCGTCAGCAGCCTAAGCAACTTAAAAAATAACGCGTTATTTCATTGAAATTATTTTTCGATAACAATTTTGTTACTATTGCGTTGCACTGAAATAAATAGTTATTTCTTTACTTGCGCATTAAAAAAAATAATAATTTTGTTACAGTAATTTGTAATTTGCTTTACGTTCCTCAATCTGAGTACGAGATATATTCAATCAACTCGATTCTACCCCATATTCAAATGTGCCCCAGACTACCTTATTAATTGACATACATTTTCAGTCTGCGAGCCATATTGACCCTAAGAGTCAACTGTTATCAATCCCTAAAGTATAAAATAATATATTAATGAGTTTATGGAATTATTTTAATACTATGTTCTATTAATAAAAAACAAAAAATTTCTTGACTTTTATCACTATAATGAATTTATTTTGTAAAACTCTTAATATGAAAATGGAAATCTGTAATAACATCTTGAATTCTGTTCAATCGTGGAATTAGAATAAGTAGTACTTAAATTGTCTGAGGGTATTGTTGCTTTTATAATTTGAATATAATTTTTCGAATCTATACTAAAATTTTATAACAAATTCTTGGTAAGCTTTCGAATAAATCTTATGGAAGCACCATCATAAAACTAATTATATAATATAATCTGCACAATAAACATAATCAGTATATAGGATAAGTGTTGAAAAAAAATTACATGAATAGTATGGAAAAAAGAAATCGCTCATTAGTGACACTTCCCATAATTTTTCTTTTAAATTTTTTATATTTATATTTAAATTGACATAATTATATATGTTAATAATATTATTAGACAGGAGAATTTTAAAAATCAAATTGTATACTTAAAAAATATGTCAAACATTTAGTGTAACTTTTATTCAAGAACCTCAGTTTAAAATCGTATTTAAAAAGTGACAAAAAGGATATCGACGAAAAGAGATTAATAATTTATATGATATTTATGTAACAAATATTTAACGCTATAAAATGAAGGTGAATAATAACAACGTGGTCTGATTTCTATAACTATTTTTCCATTCATGTTTTGATAGCGAGAAAATAAAAAATTAACAAAATGTGCATAAAATACAACCACCAATCAGGTACTTTAGATTATATTTAATATTATATAAGTTAACATACATCTAAATAAGTATATTAAACATTTAACTAATACAAACATTTAAAGAAATATAATTTTTATAATTAAAATAATTTCTCAAAATATTATAAAATGGCGAAGCTGGTTCTTCAATTTTTTTCGAAATATCATGAAATTTAGTTTTTAAGTATTTATAATAATTAATAATTACAATTATTATCATAAAACATAAATGCTTATATATGTAATGTAATCATTCAAAATCCAATAACTATAGTGTATTGTTATTATTAGCAGTAATAATAATAATAATAATAATAGTAACAATAATAATAGTAGGTATTAGTATTTTTAAATTTACCATACACTTGAAATATAGTTTATATTTAATTAACTGATAACATTAATAAATACATTTGAATGATAATCAGTTAATATAAATAAAATGTACATTTATGTATTATGTATGCATGAAAATTTAAAAATAAACACACTAAGCAAGTATGACAAAAAAACATTTATAGTGACACTCTGGACCAAATAATGCCTTTAAATCACATTTTGTCGCCAAAACAATCATTAAAAAATGAACCGATCGTTTGATATACATGAGGTCGAACGCTATTCAATCCATGCGCTTCATCTGGATAAGTCTATAATGCAAATTTTCATTATATTTTTAAATAACAGAATAAAAAGAAGCAAGTCCAATACGAGACTAATATGATTTTGATTTTTAATATGTTGAAAATAATCGGTGCAAAATGACATTTTAACCTATTTTTTTGGACCTTTAAAATTGTTTTTGTAAAAGTTTATAATAAAAACAAGTTGAATTTGTTACCATAACTTTTAAAACAACTTACAAATTTGAAATTGACATCATTAAATAGAATATTTTATGAGAATTAGAAGAATTTTATTGTTAAGATTAATATGCAGTCAGTAAATTTTATAATTACTATTAAGTAAATTATACAATACATTTATCAGAAAAGCTCAATATTTGTTTGCATTTTTATCGTTAAAATAGGTCAAGTGAGAGCTGAGAAAATAAATGACAGTCACAAAAAACCATATAGTAAAATAATTTTAATATGAATAAGAAATTTCTTCTCGTGAGGGGAGACTACAGTGATGGGATCCTTGATCATTATTGAAGTCATTGAATTAAATGAGATAAAAAACAAATGAGTTGAATATTTTTTTTAACTTAAAAAGAATTAAGAAAAAAATCTTAGCCACAGGCGGGTTTGCTTCCACATCGTACTCCAAGCACGCAAGACTCAAGTGTTATCGACTCGACAACCTTTCATCGCATTCGTCGACCGAAAAAAAATGGCAATTTAAGCTAATTCAAAATTTCAAAGTTATTTTTTCAACTTAAAATAACCAAAAAAAATTGAAATAAGTTTAACTTTCTATGCTTTGTCAATTAGATTTATATAATATTTATGAAAATCTATGTATTCCCCTTGAAATATTTTAAAATAAAATACAAAACCCAGAATTTTAACACAAAAACATATTTTTAAATAAGCCATTTTCACCAAGAAGAAAATCCATAGTTCAAAAAAATTTTCACCCATTTATGGGGAAAGAGGGAATTTTTTCAATTTTGGAGGTAATGTCTTCGACTAGATTCAATTTTTGATCTTTTGACGTATTGTTATGTATTGTTATACATCAAAATTGGTCCAGTGAGAGCTGAGATTGAGTGGTAACAGACAAAAAAATACACATCATAGTAAAATTAATACCTTCTCAGCTTCGCATCGAAGCTAAAATAAAGTTGACATCCTTTAAAGTTATAAGGAATAAATTAAAAAAAGTAATTAATAACTAATAAATCAATAACCATATAAAATAAAAGATACCAAAAATGATTTTATTAACATAATTATTATTTGCAGAGAAATCTTGTGGTTTATGTTAAAAGAATCACCTTGTAGAAATAATTTTTTAGCAGGGGAGAAATTAAATTAGATCTCCCAAAGATTTTGCTCAATTTAAGTGGTTTTTGGAAGAGAACATTTAAAGTAAGTGCATGGCGGAGTCGGAATATATATAATAAATAACATACTAGTGAAGGTTTTACTATAAAATTTTAGTTAGATTTTCAACTTTAATTTAAACTTGAAGTATTAAAAGTAAATTACTAACTGTACCAATATTGAAATGTAATTCCTTTATATTACGCAAGTATAACTATGTTAATTTTATCTTTTCACCTGTTGCCTGAAGAGCACAACTTTATGTTCAAGAACATTAGATAACATCATTGACTGTTGGTAATGTACGTTATCGTCAAAAGTACCATGAATTAACATAAATTTTTTACCACGAATATTTTCAGCATAAGTTATTAAACTAGCATTTTGATATCCTTGTAGGTTTTCTGAGAATAAACCCATGTATCGTTCAGTATAAATTGTATCTAAAAAATGGAAATGAAAATAAATATTTATTTAATTTTTAATCAATACATGTTAAAACTTTCAAGCGATTTTTGTTGAGCTTAAAAAGATAATTTTTAATTTTGGCTTAACGACAGGAAATATACAGATGTTTAATAAGTAAGGAACAGGTCGATTGTTACAAACAATAGGTATAATAAAAACCTGTTTCCTTACTTACTGAACATAGTTATATCTTGCGTTTAATCTCATTTTTTCGGTGATAATTTATTTTTTAATCGCATCATTAAAATATATTTCCAAGAATTTCCGTCCTTAATTCTATTCTTCTTTGGCTTTATATTAAATAAATTATCAGTTATTATATAACTAATGATACAGATTAGAAAAAAATATACCGTAATATATCCAATCAGTGACGGGTGCTACAGAAAGAGCACACTTAAAAATTTTTTTGTCATCTTTAGCTAGCGCCATACCAGAAGTGAAGCCACCATAACTCCATCCCCAAATTGCAGTTTTCAAACTATCGACGTATGAATATTTTGTTTGCAAGTATCTTAATTAATGAAATGTAATTAATCATATTGAATTTTACAAAGTAAAAGTAAATTTATAACCAGAGTAGGAAATAATTCACAGGAACAAGTTTAAAATGTTAACGTTATTAGAGTTAAAAATTGTTAATTTTTTTAAATGGAATTAACTTCAGTATTTATTTTCAGAAATTGTGTTTAAAACGCTTACTTAGCAACGGTTATTTGATCCTCAATTTCGTAAGTACCCAATTTCCTGTAGTTAGCAAATAGATATTTATTGCCTCTTCTTCCACTTCCACGACCATCAATTTGTGCAATAATGATATTTTTATCGACACTAAAATACTTATTCCAATCCAAATAAAATTTTTTTAGTGCCAAGTTTGATCCAGGCCCGGCATAGCTGTAGAAAAAAAACTCACCATAATTAGTTATAATTTTTTTTTAGTTTATTTTTGGATATCCTCACGTATTTACGAGCATAGGATATTTAGTGTCAGAATTTTCATCTAAAGTTGGTGGAAGTATAAGCTTAACTCGAGCTTTGTAATCATCTAACAATGGTACATCAATGAATAATACTCGTGGTAAGACTATAGATTTTAATGATACTTTAAGATCAATATTTAAGTCCCACTCTAACAATTGTTGGCCATTCTAGAAAAAAGAGGGTAAAAACATTATTATGGTAATCATTTTTACTATATAATAAATCTACTGACACATTACTAAGAATAAAATAAATTATTACTAAATACTTTCATTAAAATTAAGAGAGTATAAACATCAACTAGATTACATAAACATAAGTCATGTCATAATAATTCAGTTTTATAAAAGGAATAACCTAAAATGACCTAAAAATTATAAGTTAAAAATTAAGACCTAAAATTACATTTGGCGAGGTAAACACTCGAAAGTTTAAAGAAAAATGTTTTACTTAGAATATAAAAGGCTTTTTTCTAATTTTCCTAAAATAAGTGTCCTTTGCATGCACAAAATATAAATTGAAAAAGAATAAAATTCTGTTTAATTTTTAAAGCTTTTATAATTTAAAATCTAAAAATAATAGAGTAACCCCGTGTTCTACCAAATGTTTTTATCTATACTATATTTATCATAAGAACGTACAATAGAATTCATAATGTGGATTTCTGGTACGTCAGGTCCACTGCATGTGTGTGTAAAGTAGCTACCACCTTCACTCATCGCTATTGAGCTGTACTCACACGTTCCTGTACAAGTTAAACATTCCATTTTACTATTTTCTAACGCTTTAATTTTGTACATATATTCTTCTTCTGGATTTTCTTCAGTGTTTGCTGTAAAGTATCTAAGAATAAAAACTTAGATATATTATGTTACATTATCTATAGCTGTTGTGTATTTTTGATTATCTTACATTATATTCGATTCAAGATTCCATTTCAAAAGTTCAATAACTTCAAATGAGCCACTCGTAAGGGCTTTTAATGTACCATCAGGTTGTACTAAATTGACATGCCTGTAAAATTCACCATTAGCTTGTTTTACAGGATGTATTATGGCTAGGGAATTGTTAATTCCTACTAATGGTGTTTGAGTAAAATCCAACCAACCTTGATTCTGGACTAATTTCGTAACCTATAGTAAAAGTTTTTCTTATATAAATTGTTATATTTACTTTAAAAAAAAAAAAAATTTGACATTGCTAATGTTGGGTATATGTAAAACGTGTCTCCCCTATTGTTTTTAATCATCAACTAGATTATTGTTTCCCTTTTTTAGCTTCTTTTTTCTTGTAGTAAATTTTTAAATTCACATCATCAAAATATACCCAGACGTGTCCATCCTAAATTTTATTCTTTAGTCTTAAATTTAATATAAAAACCGATAACTGAAAATTTGAGACATAATTTTATGTAAGCCTCGGCAGCAAAATTTAACGTACATCTCTAGACGTAAATAAAATACGAGTTTACTATTTAAAACCAATATTTATTATTTAGGTTATTTTGTTACACGATGATTTTCCAGATGTTTATAATTTTTATGGATAAGAATGTTTTCTGTTGTGTACAAAAAAAATTACGAATCAACTTTACTGAGAATTTATGTTTTTAAAATTTTTTATATGCATAAAACACTATTAAAATTTAATATTTATTTTTATTCTCTACTGAAAAATTGTTAAAATTTACATCATCTTTTGTAATGGAGTTACAGAATTGTAAAGTAACCAATATTAAAATAGCATTTTAATTATCGTACTTAAAGCTTAAAATTTTTAGCACTTTGTTAAAGGCCGTTTTCAACTAAAATAATTATGATAATAATAATAATCATCATCGTTAATTATTAATGGTTTAAGGATATTCATAATAAGCGTTTAAAATATACAACATTTCCATAATACAAATTAACCAAAAATTTTTAATTCAAATTTTTGTGGAAGAAATATACTTACAATATTTAGTTTTATTTCATCATCACTGACAATATAATGAGCAAGCCGAGTTTCATTTTGAACTCGATTCATCCAGTTAATAAATAAATTTGAATCGTCTGACCACAATACGTTATTTAATATTAAATCATTCCTAAAAAAAATTAATTTAATTTTAATTATTACAGTAATACTTAACTTTCAAGTTTTTATTTTAAACAAATCTATTAAAATTTTATTCTAAAATGAAACTCAGTACGGCATGTTATAAAACGTGCATCTCATGCGCTCTCAAATCTATCCAAAAATAAGAAGTTTATACATTAGTTCAATATTGCCGATCAACCATTCAGTTACTTATAAAATCTTAAATAGCGCCGAATTCCCCAGTTAACACAATAAGCTCGTGTTTAAGGCGCCATTTTTTTAGGGGCGACTAATTCTGATGAACGAATAATGATTTTTAATATAAAGTATTTTTTTTCATATGTAGAACTGAAAGAAATTCAAATAATTATAAAATGTTTTTAGACCACCAACGATTGGATTATCTATACAGTAATAGATAATAGATAAAATGAACTTAGATACCATATTAGAAAATCTTATTAGTATTGAACATTAACAATTTAATTTAGAATTTTTTTTTTTTTTCATAATTTAGATCATATTTTATTTTATCAATTTATTAAATTAAAGTGTCTTTTGAACATCATATATATTTTTTTAGTTTTTGATTAACAGCTGTAACTTTATTTTACGTCTTTAAGATGTCTGAGTACCGACCTTTATTCAGGGGTCGAATATAGGCAATTTTGCGGTTTTTACATGTTACGCAGTGCCGTTGTGTGAGAAATAAATGATTATTAGTGTGAGTGTCCATTATTGAGAGTATTTTCGTCGTGATATAGTCGATAACAAAACCGGTTGTGTACCTGCCTTATTTTTTGATGCAATACGATTATATTGAAAACTACGCACGTTTATTTTATGTAGTATAAAAACTATAGTTTAGCACCAGCCTCACTGTAAATTCTTATAGACGCGTCATGATTTCACAAATTTTAATTGATTATAAAAATAATTAAACTATTTATTTTCGACGAGTAAGAAAAACTAAATATTTACAGAAAACAAGTTAAATCATATGAGATCCACATCGATTATTTTGAAGTTATAAAACTATAAAAAAACTAATTTTAATTATAAGAATTCAATTTACAAAATTACATTATTTACACACTAAAATATTTAAGTTTTATAAGCATGTTCTTATGGGAAGTCCATAACATCAGTTACTTAGTGTAAGATCTAGTTTGATAACATAGTGTGCGCGACTAAGAAAAACACGTTATTGTGTCAGATTTAAAGGGAAATTATTAAAATATAATGCTAAATACATCAACAAGATATATTTTTTGATCTTATGGCGTATCGTTGAACAATAACAGTCCAGTAGGTACAAATATGGATAGACACACAAGCAAAAAACACATCATAGTAATACTAATATCATAGTAAAACTAATACACCTTCTCAGTTTTCTATCGAAACTAAGAAAGTGTATGAAAATTATTTTCATATATACGTACCTCACCAGATTTTTTTTTTGACGCCACTTATAATGTTAATATATTACCTCTATTTTTTTTTTTTTTTTGATAGCAATATTTTTTTATGGCCCCATTTTTTTAGCGACACTTATATAGGAGGAATACAACAACAAAATTTGTTTCTTACAATGGAATGATAGATTTGCAAATAAGATAAAAGCAAATAATCAAATATCGTATATACAGGTATAATATCAAGTATGCATTTGTAACTATTTTTAGGCAGTAGGTATTGCCCTATGCAACTCTATGGGCAATTAAATAGCTGCTGCGGATAACGCACATACGCGCACGAGCATGTCAGATGTAACAGCTACTGTTTGAAAACCATTAGTTTGACCGTATAAAACAACCCGTTTTGTTCCATCAATACGATGAAACTACTGATGCGATAATAATTCTGAAAACAAATTTGAATTCAGTATCATGTCACTTAGGTCAGGCCACTTTTTTGAAATTGTGATTCCTTCAACGTAAAAATTTTAAAATTATTCGAAAATGTAAACTGTACTAAAGGGTTAAAAACATCAAAATTTCAAAAATATGGCCTGACCGATACCTAAGTGACATGATGCTGAATTCAGATATGTTTTCAGAATTCTTATCGCATCAGTAGTTTCGTCGTACTGATGGAACAAAAACGGGTTGTTTTTGACTAAAAAGTGGTCGGTACCAAGACGCCTTAAAATTGTTAGTAATAAAAAAAACAACTACATTTGTACACTTTAATACATAGGCACAACAAAATTAAAATTATTAAGAGCTATTTACTCGCTTTAAAAATTATTTCCATAAATAATTATAACTAATTTACTGCATTTCGGGTCTACCTCTCTGACCTCCTCTTAGTTATGGCTATACTTATCATACTTATATTATTCAGTGCTTACAGCGGTACACTGCTTGATTCCAACATTAATCTCCAAACCTTTAGTGACACAATAATGAAGCAAACATTTTCAAAAAAAAACAATAAACATTAAAAACATTGTTAATTTTTCATATTTTATGTGTATCATCCGAGCGATTTCATATCAACAAGAAAATTTTAGATTTCTAAATCGAAAAACATATAAGGTCAAACAAAATTATTTATTGCAAAATATTAATAAAATTATTTTCTAAATAAAAATAAAAAGCAAAAACTTATAATAATGTTTTGTATGTAGTTATTATAAAATTAATCTAAATAAAACTATTTATTTAAGAAAAATTAATCTTTTGAACCATTTGAAATTTTCATATTTATACTTTAAAAATGGTAAAAATTCTAATGATATATAATTAATGACTTAGCAAAAAACATTTGTAATAGTCAAATAATTATGATTTTTTTTAGTACGCTATGTATTGGAAAACGAGTTATCCCATTCTACACCATATAATAATTTTGCTCTATATAGAGCAAAACGAGGAAAATATATTCCTTAAATTTATAATCACAAAAAATTATGTCACAAATATATTTTCTGTTCAATCTGAATTAAGAATAAATATGCAGTTAATAAATTGTCTATTAAAATATAAATAAAAAAAAAACCCAGCACAGTGGAGTGGCGGCACGGTGGGGTCGTAGCAAAGTTGGGTCCAGTATAGATGATATCCTACAGTGATTAAAATCACTATCATAAAAAACGCTTCGATGCAAAACTGTAGATAGTGTTTAATTTAAAAAAAAAATTTGTCAACAAAGTAGGTCAAGTGAGAGCTCAGAAAATAAATGATAGCTACAAAAAAAAACCACATAGTAAAATAATATTAATATGAATTTCTTCTCACGAGAGGAGACTACAGTAATGGAATCCTTGATATTTATTGAAGTTATTGAATCTAAATGAGATAAAAATCAAATGAGTTAAACATTTTTTTTTAACTCAAAAAGAATTAAAAATATAAAAGTTCTATTTTTTGTACAATGTTTCAAGTTTTGAACGCCCCCTATATATGGGGAAATTGTCCAATTTTAATAAAAAGTATGTCAAATGAAAGATACTTATAATGTATTTAGCAAAAAAAAAATTTGTGCTAATAATTACATTTTTNGAAAAAAAAAAATTGTGCTGATACATGCATTTTTCGAAAAGTTAAAAGTTATAGCATTTTTAAGTTGAAAATTTAAAATCGAAAATTTTAACACAAAAATAGCGTTTTTTTAACTACGACAGCCGTTTACATGCAGAAGATAAAGTATCGGGACAAATTTTTTTTTTTCATTTTATAGTACATAAAATAAGCTTTAATTTGATATATGTTTAAAGGACGCAGTATTTCCGGAACATTTTCAAAAATTAAGTTGAAAGTTAGTTTTTGTAAAAAAGTTGCTATTTTAAATTCCCCCCAATGAGCAGGTTAAGTGTTAAATTTTCCAAAAAATTATATCAAATGAAAGGATAATATCTAAGGTTTTAGTATAAAAAAAAATTATGTTGATTTGTTTATTTTTGAAAAAATTATGGAAGTTTTAAGAAAAAAGAGTTAAAAAAATTACAAAATACTACCGATAATTAAAATTGTAATTTTTTTGGATATTTCCCCCATTTGCTGGGAACGAGGGAAAATTTTTCAATTTTTAAGGGTAATGTCTTCAACTAGATACAATTTGTGATCTTTTGACGTATTGTTAAAAGAAATCGGTCCGGTGAGAGTTGAGAAAAAGTTGCAACAGACATAAAAAAAAAAAAAAAACACATCATGGTAAAATTAATACCTTCTCAGCTTCGCATCGAAGCTAAAAGGGAATTTAAAATATATGTTTATAATTTATCAAAACATATAACAATTATTAAGTTTAAGAAATACATTTATATTTTGAGTTTGCCTACATTTGTTTAGCTAAAATTTAAATTAAAGTTAATGAATATTAACTACTATCTAATAACCATTCTTATTGTTGTTTACTTCAAGACGTAATTATATACTTTAAAAATAACTTATTACAAGAAAAAATTTAAGAAAATAAAAATTTAAATTGTAATGAAGAAATATATTTTGTAATTATGAAATATTATGAGACTTCTTATTAAAGTGACGTATTTATTTAAACTTCTAGTTTTATATTAATATAAATTTAATACACTAAAATAATCGAAGATATTTTTAAATTATTTCTAACTTAATTTCAATTTATTTTTATTTTTATACATTTTAAATATTAATAAGGAAATTGATTTATTTCTACTTGTTATTTTATCATTTTTAAAAGTAAAATCAATTAAAAATGTTTTATTTATATTTTTAATATATTTATATTTTATTTATATATTAGAGAATTTTAAAAAAAGTACAGTTTATTTTCATAACCTTGGTAGTATACAATTATTCTAAGAGTATAGTAATATAATAATAACAGTATAATGAGTACATGTATATCTAATTGTTTTACATAACTCATTTAAATAGGTAGGTTTTTTTTTGTATTTACAACGAAAGAATCTTTTCAACTAACTGCTGAGTCAAAGTTAATTCCACGAAGCCATATATTATTTTTAAACAATGAATTTTTAATTTAATAAATAAAGCATTGCTATGTAATATAATAGTAATGTATATTTTTATCGAATAATCAGTGTATTTTCAGTACTTCAGTAGTCTAAATATTTATTTGGAACCATAACCACCTCATTTTAAACGATTCAATAATCTCAGAATGAAAATTTGCTACGAGACTACATACCAAAATAATTTTTTTATTAAAAAAAAAAACTTACTCATTAATATCCACAGGTGGTGATACTTTTATTAAATCTTTTTTATTCAAAAACTTCACATAAAATTCTACAATAGGATTAGGCGTACCAACCTAAAAAATATTTTTAACACATATAATTTTTATTTATTTATTAATCTATTTAAATATATAATCACAAATATTATTTTACTTTCGGGTAATGAATGCCAACATTAGACGGATATTGGTACCTTAAGTTACCCGGTTGTCCGTACAAAGGCATAACCATAATTGAAACATTCACATCATTAAACGATGCGAATGCTAATTTTGTGCCAGATTTTGAAAACCACAGAGCGCTGTTAGAGCTCAGTACTTCCTCTGAAACAATGAAAAGTGTTAAATACAAAAAATAAATATATTATTAAAAAAAATTCAACACTAAATTACTGCTAGAAAAAAAAATGAATCTCCATATTTGGTCGTTTTATTCATGAAAACAATTGTTTATAAAAACAATTAAATTATTTCTTACCAATGGTAGGTTTTTTCAGTTTTTTTCAATTTAGTAGATTTATTTTTTATTTGAAATTGCTTAAATTATTAAAATTTGAGAGAAGATTACAAATGTTAATCTCATTAATGTTAATTCATAATTTAAAAATCTGTTATATAAAAAATTCTTAACTGTTTGACTTGCCCTAATATTGAATTTGTACATTTGTATGGCAATATGCAAATAAAACCTCTATTTTGTCCAAAACTGAATAATACAAATTAAATATATATATAATGTAGTTTTAGACTAAGTTATTACATACTTACAAATTTTGTAATTGTGTAAATAAAACATAGTCAGTCATTGGTAATATTCAAATTTGAAAGAAATGGCTTACCTTCGTAAACCCAATCTGGAATACCGTTGACAGTATTTGTATCTCCTGTTACAGTAATTTGTTCTTCAACTTGATTAAAAGCTGAACTTTTATAAAAAATATTATTTTGTTCGACTAATGCTAAAGCACTACCAATGGGAGACCATTTGGCTAATTGCAACTCTCTTGGCTTTCTGGTAACAGAATTTATCAGTGTTTGTTGAACTCTAAATAATAAATAATATTAAGTTAGTTTTAAACTTAATTTCTTAAATATAAGAAAAATGTTAACAATAGATAATGCATAATACATTGTTCAAATTATGAAATGTGACTTGAGAAATGTGTGTGTTGCATTTCACTTAAAGATAATATTATAAGTAAATAATTTAGCATATCGACGGTTAAAAGGCTATTTAGCGTAAGTAACACATTTTCAAAAAAAAATGAAGATAGGATTACACATTCTCAACTATATTTCTCCTTTTTGAATAAAGATGCTCGAGCAAGATAGAATAATTTTAATTAAAAAATAAAGGTTAATACATGAATCTTTATTTTTAAATTTAAAATGTTTAAAAAGGCAATAAATTATTATTCAATTGAGTGATCATACATAAATTTGATACCGATGTGTAAAACATAAAATACCCCTTTCTAATTCAGCTGAAATATAAAAAATACAATATTTTTGAAAGTAAGAGTGCCTTCTTGATTTAAGAACCTTAAGGCCTCATTTTTTACGTATCTCTATTTACGCCAATTATTTAAAAATAATTCTTCTTTTTCCTCGCCTTAAACCAAACTACTTGGGACTGGCCAATTTAAAAATAATTAAATTTAATATTTAATCTTATGTGATAAAGTATTTGCTTTTCCTGATAAACATTTTTTACATTGGAATTTTTTAAGTAACTAAATAATTAATTATGAGAAAAATGTTTGTAAACAATTTGTTATCAGTGACCTAATAGCTTTAACAGCATAATTTTTTAATCATGATCTTTATCGTTTGTTTTAATTGATGAAAATGATGCCTGAAGGTTGAGTTACTATGATAAACTACTATGATTTATTATTTGATGCAATTAATATCAATTAAAACGATGGTTAAGATATAATCGTGTCATCCTCAATAAACAATGAGATATGAATTTCATATTTAAGCATTTGAAATTGTTTGAAACATATAATTTCATTTGTTCACTACAATACACCTATTATCACCATGAACTACCACAAAGTGTTGTGCACTTTTATCATCTGTTCAGTTCTTTTCTTTGCATCGGTAAGTAATTCAATTTAGTTCTATTGTTTTTTTTAACACTATTATATCAACTTATTAGTTTTATAAAATCATGACTAAAACAATACTGGATAAATAAAATTAGGATAATTTTTAAGCCCTTAAGAAAAGCCTAAACATAAATTAAAAAAACTTTTGTTTTCATATTGGTTATTTAAGTTTTTTTAAATTTATATTTGTGATTATTTGATATTAAAAAGTTTAAAATTTAGTTAATTATATGTTTTTTGAAGGTAATGTATAGATTTATTGAACTAAGTTTCTATGACTGCAGTACAGCTATTATTTTTTAACTGCACTAGAATACAAAATATAAATAATAAGAATTTAGAATTTAGAAAAACATTGAATTTAAAAAAAAATTTTACTAATAGTTAAAATTTATTTATAAATAAATGTAATTTTATGTTAATCGTTTTATACGCAACTTGAATCATATTTACAAAACTTAAACTGCATTCCAATATATTATAATAATAGTTTTTTTTTATTTAGACCCAAGCAGTATTGAAACCTTTTCCGTGTCCCATACCATGTTTAAAACCAGTAGAAGTACCATGTCCTATCCCTTCATGTTTGGGAACTAACAGTTTAACATCAAAATTGAATGCATTATTATTAGCTAAGCTAATTTTGAAAAAGGGATTGACTCCAATACCTGCACCATACTTAGTACCCACTACTCCATCAAAACCTAGTACTCCACCTCCACCAGTCGAATCAAAACCTTGTGCTCCGTCTTGCCCACCACCAAGCCCACCACCTTGCCCACCACCTTGTCCACCACCTAGTCCACCACCTTGCCCTCCTCCATCTTTACCTGCATTTACCTTACTACCGCCATGTCTTCCATCACCAGCACCCTGCCAATCTTATTCTTCATTATTGGAATTAGCTCCTTTACTCGCTTCTTTAGCATCATCACTTAATCAATGTCCACCGCCTGCACCCGCAGTTGCTCCATTACAGTTGATTCCTATCCCAACAACACCAATAACTCCACAATACCAATATGAACAACAATTACTTTCACAAATTTTAGCTTCTACTAGTACATTGTCTACCCCATGCTCACAATATTGCTTCCCAACACCCCAACCAGCATGTGGATGTTAACAAGTCACACTTCAGTAAAGACTGAATTGTAAAATCTCGTAGAAAATTTCAAAATTTTAATATTATTATTATTATTATTGTCCAGTGTTAATAAATTATAATTTTAATTAAATTATATTTAATGTGTTACTCAATACATTTTTAAATAACAGTACATTTTAGCTTTATACTCAATTTAAAATTGGCTTAATGTAATAGAATGTGAAATACCGTTTGATTGTCCTTTAGAAAAACCTTGTAAGCAAAAAACATGGATATAAGCATAAAGTGGAAGCACAAGTATTTACATTTGAATATGCAAAGGGCTTACCCAGTTTTAACGTTGATCAGATCATAGTTAGCTGTAAAGGAATGCCTATAAACCTGAATATTTAACAACATGAATACGTTTTACTAGTTAGCGTAACAATAACAAGTTACAGTTTACCTTTCGGTAGCGATAGGCTATCAGAAGATATTCTTTGTTGGCTGATAATTCAAATTGAAAACATTTATCGACATTCTGAAAATAAATAAAAAATATAAACAGCCTATTTAAATTAATAATTGCATAGCATCTAAAGAAAATGTTGCATTACAATACGCTATTAATAAATTTACTAACCGGCGTAGAATTGGATGCTAAAATTAAATTATTCATAGTTTTAACATTAAACAAAACGATATGTCCATTGGCGTCCTTCATCAAAATTTCAGAATCTATATAAAATAATATATAGTTAGATAATAATAATTTTCTCAATTGATTAAATAGTTTAATTACCAGATATCCACGTGCCATTAAAATGATTGGGCTCATAACTTCCCTTCATTAATTCATTAAAATCTAATGTTTGAAGATTTGTTTGAGCTTCAGGTTTATTGAAAATATCAGTGGTAAAGAAGACTATTCCTCCTAATATAGCAATAACAACGCATAATAACACAAAAAAAGTTAACGGCCTGTTCTTCACATTCCATAAACATTTTTCCTAAAAAAAAAAACAGAATTTCATAAATTTAAGATATATTTATATGAAGGGTTTGAAAAAGATCCCTATGTTTAGTTTGTTACAGAACGATATAGAATTTTAAACGTTTCCGCTGAAACAATATAAAAACGTAAATTAGTAAAGTTCTCAAAACTTGAAGAAAAAACGATTTAGGTAAGACATTTCATTAGACTTAATTCAATCGCTATACCCAACAGAAGAAGGCCTTAAAGGCATCCCTACCTTCACTAGAAAAATATTTTTTTATGATTAGTGAACCCTATAAAAAGTGTTGTTTTTAAAAATAAAATTAATTATAAAAATTAAACAATTTATTATATTTAATAGTATAAGAACGAAACAAAATTGGTTTTATCTATTCTGTTCATTCAAGAAACAGAATATATTATAAGGTTTCTAATGAATTTCTAAACAATTTCAGAAAATGCAAATTTTTATTTTTATTTTTTATTTAAAATCACTAAAACTTTTTTTATAAATAAATAAATCAAAGCAAATATTTTATTGGGAGCACCTGAAATATTTGTTTTCATTAGACGTAAATTTTTTAGAAATCCTTCCCTTTTTTACTCACAGTAGAATTTAAAAATAGTAATTTTTGTATGAAAAGTGAACTTTTTCAATTTAAATTTAGAAAACATCTTAGAATTAAACGTATTTTTACGTTTTTTTAAAGCCTTAAACGTATTTTAAAATAAAGTGGAAGTTACGTACTACAAATTAAAAAATAAAATTGTAACATTTTCTATGTACTATGTGCTATATTTATATATGTAGGTAAGTTGCAGAGTAAGCTCAAAAACTTACTGTTTAAAGTTGTCTCTCTATCAGATCGTCCTGTTGTACTATTCTTTTATATTGATACGCAAAAATATATTATAGAGGCCCTTAATTTTAAACTTTTGAAATTCGAACTTCTTACTTCCAAAATTATTCTACCAAAAAATAAATAAAATCTACAAAATTTGGTCATGATTGATCAACCCTAACTCGTGCTGCAAGAGCATTATTAATTGAACTCCAGGGTTGTTTATTTTTTTTTTTTTAATATTCAAAAAATAACTCTAACAGTAAATATGAATATAACATAAATTATAGATCTAATAATTGTCTTTAAAAAATATTTTTACAAATTTTCTTAAAATTTCAATAAAAATTTTACCGTAAAAATAAAAACATTTAAAAAATTATATTTTCATCCAAAAATTTCCGTTTTTTAGAAATATTTTTATATTTAATAAACCGTTCATCATACGACTAAATGTGTTATACAAAAGTTATTTATCGTTACATTTACCAAAAATTATATTCAATAAAAATAATGTTGTATCTCTAACCCTTATTTGATATGTCGAATTTAATAAAAATTTCTAAGGATCTTAACTAGTTACAATAAAAATAATAATAATCTTATTATTTATCATAGTTTAATAAATATACGGTAGTAATATATATGGATTTCTATTATTAAATGTTAACTATTTTATATCATAAATTTTGTAGTTTTTATATTTTAATAAAATTTAACAATTAGTTATAATCATAGAAGTAATAACTATAAATAATGACCAGTAAATTAAAATACAGTCCATTTCTGTGCAGTCGTATAATAAAATCAATCGATAGTATTTTGTCAAATTGAATTTTTATTAAGTACTACCTAAACAAAAATTAATACACTCATGAAAAGCTAGACGATTTGTTCGATATATCCCACTCAAATGCGTCAATTATGTCTAATAAAAAGAAATACTTTTAGGCCTGTGAAAAATACAGAGAATATGAACTTAAATTAGTTCGCATTTGTTTAAATCAACTAATAGATTATTAGCTCAGAAATATGAAAATGTGCTGAAAAGGGTTTATTTGAGACTAGTTTTTCTACACCAATTTAGCCAGATTTACACTCCCTAAATACGTCTTCTAATAGACCTCTAAAAATTGAGGTAAAGTTCTAAAAGTATACAAAAGAAATAAAAAGGAAAATAGCTGTTTTTTGTGCGGTTTCAGAAGACACTAAAATTAATTATAGTTATATGTTTTTAAATATTAGTTATAAAAAAACATATACATTTTTATTGCTATTTTATTTATACCATTTTTCATTTAAAAATAAAAAGATAATAATAGGTTTCCATTTAACTTTAGTAAGTTACCTAAAATCTACCTTTAAAAATAATGTTTGTTTAAAATTAACTTGCTATTTATTATGGTTTATAAAGATAAATCAAATTTTAAATTGTTAATTTTTATAGAAAAATGATTTAACAATAAAATGGGAGTAGTATCATTGATAAATCACACCGTCAAAGTATTTAAATGGAAAATTATAGGAGATAAACGCCAGCTATATAAAATGATAAGCCAGTCAAATTTTTCCACAATTTTGTAAAATTTAAATTGACGCCAAAAATAATAAATCGCAATAGGTAAATACCAAAGAAAGCTACAAAAAAAGGTTGTCTTCTGTGGTTAAAATCTTAATAAGATCTTTGAGAAATATCAATACATAATAAGAGATAAGAGATGGATATGAAATTGTGTTACTGGAGATTTCGAATAATATTATTTATGAATTATACCCGAAAGTATGTTATAAGCATTAAGGGGACAAGGTTCCCTTCCTCTCACAATGCTTAACAATCAGTCCTTTTAAAATATTACCTCGAAAATTATCCGATTTATGAATATACATGATACACAAAGTTCTCAAACTCGTCTATAAATAATGTACCTTATTTAAAAACAATTTATTAATAGTTATTTATTTTGTTAATGGCTCGGACAAAAAATTTTTTTTGATAGAAGTTTTTTATCAATATTAAAATTTGGAAATATAAATTTTATATCTTAATAACTGTGTAAGAAGACTTTAAGATTTTTTTTTTTTTAATGACATAATTGCAATGATATATAGAAATACATGAAATTAAATTCTAATTAAAATTTATGTTTTATCAAATATAACTTTAAAAAATAACACATTTATTTATTTATAACTGTCTTCTATCCACAGTATAATTTTTATTATAAAAATCAATGCTATAATTCTGGGCAAAATGGGATTTTTGAAGGCTACAATGTAAAAATTATTTTCTCCTTATCTAGTGATTCGGTTTTCAAATCAACATTTTAAAAATAAGTGTCAGCTTCGTCACATGAATCCAACAACTTGGATAGTTGTTCTAGTCGAGGCCTGGCAAAAAAGAATGACAAGCAGAGAAAATAACATGCCTTGTTAAATCAAAAAGATAATTTTTTACTAATAATTAATGAATAATTTGAATAAACTTTTAAAATTAAAAAATTCCGTATGAAAATATTTTAATTATTTGATGGAAAAAAAATTGCCAATAATAGTTCTACTTGTTAAACTTTAATATATTTTTTGTTTAACTTTTCAGTATCTCATAGTAATTCAAATTTTCTAAGATTTAAACTAATTACTCTTTTTATATCATGTGTATGCTATCCTAACGGTTGAATCATTACTTCGTATCGTAAAATGCGAATTAAATAGATTAAAGTTAAATTAAAACTGTGACGTCTTGTCATGACAAGACCATGACCGTCTGAATGCGACATGCAACCGGCCGTGAAATGCACACTGCAAGTCTAACAACCTAAATATTACGAAATTTGTAACAGACAACAAAACATCCTGAGGAATTCAACGAGCGCTGCAAATTCGTCACATTTAATGAAATCACACATTTAACTTTACTAAAAGTTCGTTTAAATTTTATCTCTCACCCAAAAGTTTTTATAAGCACTGTTTTGGTAACGCATATCCGTGTCCATGCTGGACATGTTACGACGACCCGAAGATGAAAAAATGGTTTCCATATCAAATAACAAAAGAATCAGTCATTAAAAAAATTAAATCAAGAACGTTATTAACGTGGCTTTCACATATTTTGTCGTTCAAGTCTCGGTGACTATTGTATCTATAAGATAAATCACTAGATTATTTTATCAATAACTATTATCACCGCTCAAAAACGACACACGTCTATCGCCGGAGTTACACTCACGTATATGTTGTATCGGCCAACTTCATTTAAAATATTCAAGCCGTTGCATTATTATTGTAAAATATCGTGTGGATTATAACCATTACCACTACCTCTTAGGTGTCATCAACTCGGTAAGTGCGGTAACCATTACATACGAACGACGCTGCGCGTGTACGCGAAACGGTCTAAGACTGAACATTAACTGAAAAGCATGTTATGTAATTGTATACAATGTGTATACGATATTGCATGTGATATAAGCGACACATAGTGTGCGAGTGCGTGTAAAGCCGATCAAAAGACGAGTCGACCAGAATTTTGGGTTTAACACTCACCGATCACGCTCGTTGAATTTTGTAAAATAGTATGTAACTTTCTCAAAATTTATAATTGTATTAATTTTAACCTATTTGCAAAAGGTACTCGATATCGATATGCGACAACCGTGTTTCTTAGTATTAGCTAAAGATATCAAAAAGAGCAACGTGTAAATCCTATCTTGATCGAATAAGAATAATACCCAAATTCCGTTATTCTGTCTTTGACGCTACCTACTTCTTTTAAGCAAGTTTAGAGAAAGGATGAATGGGCGTATCTTTTAAAATCGATTTAAAAATATAATTTTCACTTAATTTTTTTGTGATTTAATACTAGTTTCATACGTCAAATATTAAAAAGATAATGAAACTATAAATACAAATAAATAATTGAAAAACAATTAATTATTCATTAACATTCAATTAATAGTATTGACTGATTTCCAAATATTTTATACATAATAATTAATACGTTACGTGAAACACTAGTTTTATCTTAAAAGTTGGATTCTTTAATTACTTGTTTGAATCAAATAAAATTATGTATTAACTTGTAAATGAAAAAAAGGAACTATCCAATTTTAAAGATTATATACGATTATTCATTATGTTGAGATAATGTTAAGATTAATACAATTTTTTTATCATAAAAAAAAAATACTTGTATATCATCTGTGTACAATTGACGTCAAATATTAAACATATTTTTAATTTAAATATATTACATGAGAAACTGGTTACTATTTTAATTAGTTAATAGAAAATATTAACAATTATTCACAAATTAATTTTCTCTAATAATGAAACAGTAAAAACAAATTTTATGGTTACCATAAAATAATAAGAGTATATTTATTAAATAGATTATTATAAAAATTTCAATCCTTTTTACAGTATACTTGTATATCCCTTTAACGCTAGCCACTCGATTTATTTTTTTAAATTATTTTTAGTTTCATCCCTTGTGTATTATAGAAGTGTCAACTTTAATATTTTTTTAAGGTATCATACATATTTAACTAGAATAAAAGATATAAAATGATCAAATTAAGAAAATGACTAATCAATAACAACTTTTTGACCAAAATTTGTTATAATGAGAAATGTTAGTGTTGACTCAATTTATTTATTCACTGAGTATATGAAGTATATGCTAATGGTTGACATTTTTAAAAAATACATGAAGTCATCAAATTTCTCTTAAATGAACATGATTGTAAACTAATAATAATTTAGTTGGCAAATTTTACACTTGAACATATTTTTTTTTTTTATAAAATACTTTTTTTTTAATTCTGTATAAACTACAGTTTTTGAAAACGTAAATATATGGTACCATGCCGTATTAATTTTTAATTTTTAGGATTTTAATTTAAAACCTATTAGATTCTAAATCGAATTTAGATAACTTCAGTAGCGTTATTGGAGAGAGACAATTAATTTTCCCCAGTTTAAATTTTCAGTACAAATCAAGGCCGGTAGAACTATACTCGTACTGAGCCTAGCCATACTGGGTTATTTAAATGTAATCTATGAAACATAGTAAAAATCAAAATTTTAGTCGTGTAAACAAAATTTTATTTGATTGGAAAAACATTTCATAATAAATTTTTTAAATTGCACAATTTTGCAATTTGTAATATAATTAATTAGTATTAATCATAGATAGTCTAATCTTCTGTTATCAATTATTACTTTACTTGAAATTAAACATTTTTATTATTTTATGTGTTTAATAACTTTACTATGAAGTGTTTTTTTAACGGATAAATAATATATCAGAAGCCTACAAACTAGCAAAAACGTTTAAGAAATACTATGTATATAGAGTGATTCACTTATCATGTACCACTTAATGAATTAGAATCTAATTAAAAAAATAACTAATTGATAACAACTTATGGATCAGTATTTCGAAAGTTATTAAAACATTTACATTCATATGAGAGGAAGAGTACGGCCGAGAAACGACTAATGATAAAAATAACAGTATAAATTAATAATAACTTCTGAAATACTGGTTCAAAAGTTGTTATCAACCAGGCATTTTTTTAATTAGATTAATATATATTAAATAAACTAGTTAATTAGGGATATTGCCATTTGAGGAATTAAACTTAACGCCCTTATAAAGTATAAAGGATGAACATGAAAAAAACTTTATGATTAAAAAATTGAGGGAAATATCGAGCTTAAAAAAAAAAAAAAAGAATTAAAAACACTAATACACTTTTTATTTTACGATTAATTAAGAGGATCATTAAAAGTAAATTACTCTGTATGTGTTATAATTGTAAAAAAAAGAAAATCTAAAAGCCATTTATTGAAAATGTTTTTTTAATATAGCATTAGTTTAATCATAAGAGATAAATTGCTAGCGGCTTTGTAAAATAATGGGCCATCAAAAAATTTACCCAATACTAGTTTAATCTGAAATGGCGACCCTTGATTAAAAAAAAAATTATTAAAAATAATATAATAAATTAACACATAAAATTCTTCAACCCTCTTTGAAAAAAAAATCTAAATGTTCTCTTTTTATTAATTAATGTAATTTAATTTTTTTTTCTTTAAATTATGACATAATTATTTTTTTAATTTATTGAGATAGCGAAAATAATTGAAACTGTTAATAATATGGATTTATAGAAGAATTTAAATGCAAACAATGTAAATAGAAATCGATTTCTTGCGAAATCTAAAAACATTGAAAAACACCAAATAATTACTTATTTAGCTGTTCAGTGATTTTAATGATTTAATGGTTTAACAAGGAAATTATCCTATATAGTATAAATATACTAAAGACAATTTATAAAACTCTGCAAACTATATCTTCACTTTATAATTTTTTTAATAATAGCGATACTGCTGATATTTAATTGCTTTTAATTCGACTACCCAATTAATTTTTCTCATACGAACTCAATTTTTCTTGTTTATCCTTGGCGTTTGTAGTTGAATCAACACAATTTCGAATAATTTACAATAATATTATATCTATCCTCAACGGCGTAATTTTAACTTATTATATTAAAATGGAACAATGTTGTAACGGTTAATTAAAGTTTTTGTTTTACTTTCGAACTTTCAACAACTATTTGAGAACTATAAATACTTATTATGTTTTAATAGATTCTGTTTTAATATAGTATAATGTTCAAAGTAATTTTATTTGATTAACTATTTATTTTTATAAATACAAAATATATATTTTTTACAAACCACAATATTACTTAAAATAGTTTAATTTATTTCAATTTAAATTACTGTTACTTATATATAATTATTATAACATGTCTTAAAAATTCATTAAGTGCAATACTTAAAAAATTTTATTTTTTAACGTTAATTGACACCATTAATTTTTAATTTTTTTTAACTATTAAAGACTATATTCTATGACATTAAATTTCGTAAGTTCATTAGTAATCATCATAAGTAAGGAAAAACGAATTTAAAACAATTTTTTTTTTGTTCTTAATTATTTTTTTTTATATGCAAATACTTATTTTTTAATAATAAGTAATAATATTAAAACTTAGAAGTGATAGAAAAAAAGTTTAATTGCATATTTGAAAACATCGAGAAAAGTTGATTTAGAAAAGTACATTTTTGTTTCTAATGAAAGTTCCTTGTAGTCCAGTGTATAAAACTTATAACTTTATTATAAGTAACAAACATTTTTTATTGAAAAGTATTGTGCCAAACTCCTTAAATTTTTATACGCGTTAAAAGTAAATAAATATACTACTACTTTATTATTTTTATAATATTTACGTTAAAGCGTACGTTTTTGCACTTACTGATAAGCTTAATTTCTTTAATTAATCTTTATATAATAATATTTTTATAAAATTTATTTAAATTCATCCAACTCTTTTAGTAGGTGCTTTCTAGATATTTTCCATGATATCTTCATGTAGCTATTCTGTATTAATTATACAGAATAAATTTTAAGTTGGATAAATTTAATTCATAAGACTTAAAATTTTGTTCGTAGAATTTGATTTTTCATCACATTGAATATTATTATTGTCAAACAATGAAAATAAAATGTACTAAATTAATGTACGAGTAAAAAAAGATGTTTGAAAAAAATATTACGTTTTATTTAAGTCAATTTAAAACTTAATATATAAATAATTATATCATTGTTTTTTTATCAATTCTACTTTTGTCATATCTATTATTTTGAATGAAACTGTATGTAGATAAAATAATTTTTAACAGCATATTGAGTAAGATATCATAATATGTGATTCATATTTTATTGGGTTATTAGACAGTATTTAATTTACGTAAAACAGACTATCTTTCTATTGTCCTAACTTAGTTATTGTTCCTAAAATTTGTTATTTACATTTTATTAAACAATATTTATAATATAAAAGTATACAGCCGTTAGATAAACAATTTATGTCGATAATTAAGGGCAAACATGTGTTAAGTATACATTTATGTATTTTTCAGGAATGGCTTTCATTTCACATATGAGATATACTAGAATAAATATAACATTTGACCACAGAGTTGTATGACGCCACAAGAGTATTTTATGTACCTCATTTGTGCACATGAAAACACACAATTTAAAATGTTTATTTTAATAATAAGTCATTTTACACAAAATGTGCATCTAACACATGCATGCACTTAGACATCAATGTAACATACATTTTTTACATGTTTAATTTTTAATTGATTAATATCCTTCTAAAATAAATTGAGTATGGATATTTTTTTGAAGAAGTACTAACAAATAACATTGAAATTTTTCATTGAATTTTAGGAAATATACGACGTACAAACTTAAGCTGATAAAATAATACAATTAGTGTATATTGAATTATAATACGATTGAAGGGTTGACGTTTGAATAAGCACACATCTAGGATAAGTTATTCGATATTTTACTAAAAACGTTGCTTATAGAATAATTTTTCATATAAGAACTATAAAGAATGATAATATTGAAAAATGATGCAATAATGATAATGATAAATAATAAACAAGCCAATAATGTAGTTTTTGATTTTTAGTATGAGACGACGCTTGAATTGACACTCAAATTTAATGAACTGTTTCAAATAAAAACGGAAGAATTTTGATATTGAAGATATTGCGCGAGACAAAGTTAATTAATCATTCTGTATATATATATCACTTTAATACTTACGCAGAGAGTATGAAAACTATGAGTAAGTAGTATTATCATAGTAATTACTATTACATCTTACGACATTATATATATTTTGTTTAAAGTTAAAATGACATATTGCTAAGAATGCTTGAATTGCGCCTGGCAAATTCATATTTTTTTTGTAAACTATGAAATAAATGTTTTCTAACATTTTGAAACGTTAATACATAAAGAAGCATTATGTTGATTTCANACTATCTAAAGATTTGCATCGAAGCGTTTATTTTTGATAGTGATTTTAATCACTATCAGATATCATTATACTTGATCCAACTATGTCACGTCACCACTGTGCCGCGACCCCCCTGTGCTGGGTTTTTTTTTTATCAACATTCATTGGCATCGGTGGATTGTGTGAGGAATATAGGATATAAAACTTCCCTGTGATAAAATAAATATATGGTCAAAATGTTTTTTTGAAGGAGTAAAATAAAAAAATGTCTTATACATAGCCCTCTCGAGACAAAACTCTGGGAACACCAATGGGTGAGTCATCTCTCCGAATATCGATGGATTTTAAAATATAAAAAGGTAATTACTATATTTTATAGACCCACTATTCAGAAATTTTCCAGGTTCATAATTAAAAAAATAATGATAAGTATAAAAAGAGCTAACAATATATTTAAGTGTAAATATACTGAGAAAAATTAAGAAAATAATATTTAATTTTATTTAAAAATGTTTTTTAGGAAGGTAAAAATTTAACTGGTTACTCCAACNAACGTATCAATATAATTTTTTTTTATATAGATGCTTGATGTCTTTACTTATTATTTGGTATATTTTTTTTGTAAATCTGACCCTTTATCTGCCCACAGGGGGGGATTTCNCAAAAAAAAAGCTAGTTTTTAATTTTATTTAATCACTGTCTGAATAGACACAAATAAAATTAAAAAGTAATACTAGTACTCATTTTTTGAAATATAAAAAATTTGTATAACATACAAATTATTGTAAATTTACAAATATATAAATGATATGTATAACATATATATATATGATAAAAAACCCAGCACAGTGGGGACGTGGCATAGTTGGGTCCAGTATAGATGATATCGGACAGTGATTAAAATCACTATATGCAAATTTGTATATAGTGTTTAATTTTAAAAAATTAGTAGTTTATTCCAAAAGCTAAATTATCTCCTAATTCCTTATTTATATTCTGATTACAAGTTTTATGATTTATAAGTGTAATATATGAATAAATATATATATATATATATATATATATATAATTATTCATATATTACACTTATAAATCATAAAACTTGTAATCAGAATATAAATAAGGAATTAGGAGATAATTTAGCTTTTGGAATAAACTACTAATTTTTTAAAATTAAACACTATATACAAATTTGCATATAGTGATTTTAATCACTGTCCGATATCATCTATACTGGACCCAACTATGCCACGTCCCCACTGTGCTGGGTTTTTTATCATATATATATATGTTATACATATCATTTATATATTTGTAAATTTACAATAATTTGTATGTTATACAAATTTTTTATATTTCAAAAAATGAGTACTAGTATTACTTTTTAATTTTATTTGTGTCTATTCAGACAGTGATTAAATAAAATTAAAAACTAGCTTTTTTTTTGATGATCATAGATGCAACTAAAATAAAATTGTTGGAGTAACCAGTTAAATTTTTACCTTCCTAAAAAACATTTTTAAATAAAATTAAATATTATTTTCTTAATTTTTCTCAGTATATTTACACTTAAATATATTGTTAGCTCTTTTTATACTTATCATTATTTTTTTAATTATGAACCTGGAAAATTTCTGAATAGTGGGTCTATAAAATATAGTAATTACCTTTTTATATTTTAAAATCCATCGATATTCGGAGAGATGACTCACCCATTGGTGTTCCCAGAGTTTTGTCTCGAGAGGGCTATGTATAAGACATTTTTTTATTTTACTCCTTCAAAAAAACATTTTGACCATATATTTATTTTATCACAGGGAAGTTTTATATCCTATATTCCTCACACAATCCACCGATGCCAATGAATGTTGATAAAAAAAAAACCCAGCACAGGGGGGTCGCGGCACAGTGGTGACGTGACATAGTTGGATCAAGTATAATGATATCTGATAGTGATTAAAATCACTATCAAAAATAAACGCTTCGATGCAAATCTTTAGATAGTGTTTAATTTTAAAAAAATTGGTGTTTTATTCCAAAAGCTACTTGATCTGCTGGTTCCTTATTAATATCTCGATTAAGATAAAGTATGTCGAATGAAAAAGGGTTTATTAAAAAATATTATTTCTCATAAAAAAATTGTGTGGATCCATAAACTTTTCAATAAGTTATAGCATTATAAAGTTAAATATAATATAAATAATAAAATCGAAAATTTTCACACAAAAATAGCATTCGGTAGCCGTTTTCACCATGAAGACAAGTCCAGAGGTCAAATTTTTTTTTTTCAAATTAAAGTATATTACATTAGCTTTAATTTAAGATATATATAAAAGTGTCAGACCTTCCGGAACATTTTCAAAATTTAAGTTAAAAAAATTAATTTTTTGTGAAAAAGTTGTCATTTTAAATCCCCCCTTGTGGGCAGGTTAAGGGTTCAATTTATGAAAAAAATATACCAAATGAAAGGTAATGATATTATGCATCTATATAAAAAAGATTTATATTGATATGTTCATTTTTGAAAAAGTTATGGCACTTTAAAGTAAAAAAAATTGAAAAAATTTCGAAAATTAGCGATTTTTAAATTTGTAATTTTTTTGGAGGTTTCCCCCTTTTACGGGGAACGAGGGAAATTTTTTCAATTTTTAAGGGTAATGTCTTCAACTAGATACAATTTGTGATCTTTTGACGTATTGTTAAAAGAAATCGGTCCGGTGAGAGCTGAGAAAAAGTAGTGACAGACACAAAAAAAAAAATAAATAAATAAACACATCATGGTAAAATTAATACCTTCTCAGCTTCGCATCAAAGCTAAAAACAAATTTTTTATTTTATATTTGTGTGCATAATTATTCACTAAAATTTATTTTTAAGCATAAGATAAATTATAAACTTACTACGGAGTTAGGCGAATGAAATACATCCGAAGAAGAACGCATGGTAAACTCCTCTTCGAGCCTGTTGGGAGGCATGTGAATGAGAAAAAATTCGAAATAATAAGTCAAACGATAACGATAACAAAAATGCCGGTCTCAAATATGTCACTTCACATTACTCAAGGTCGCCAAGATCAACCAACCGTACTCTTCAATTTTGAAACTTCTAATCGATAACAGTGGCAATTCAAATTTTTGCAATTATACTATAATTAATCTACGTGTTAAAGTAGGAATCAGCAAAATCACCGAACTCGTTCTTTGATTAATTAAAATAAAGAATATTAATATTACTCACTATCAAACGCAACGTCAGACGCAATGACGACTCATGAAAGCATTAAAAAATTATTCAAATTGATTATTATTAAAAATTTTCGATTATTTTCAAGAAAACAACATGTATTTCAATGAAAATGTACTTTTTATCAGAACAGTGACTACTTGTCCCGTGTAATCATTGCAATATACAAACCAGTGAAAGTAAAAGGACGTCTGCTACTATTAATTATTTGCCGGTTTTTATTTGTGTATATTTGGCTTACAAGTTACACGCTATATTATAACATTTTTAAAGTGAAAGTACTTGAAAATATCTCNCAAGTTACACGCTATATTATAACATTTTTAAAGTGAAAGTACTTGAAAATATCTCTACTTTGCACTGTTTAATGTGATTAGACTTACACCATATGATCGGTGAGTATTGTATGTGAAATTAAACTTCACTATAAATGTATGTATAATATGNTCTACTTTGCACTGTTTAATGTGATTAGACTTACACCATATGATCGGTGAGTATTGTATGTGAAATTAAACTTCACTATAAATTACATTATAAGAATTTAGTCTTATAATTTATAATTATTATATGTATATTTATAAGTATTATTTTCAAAATTACCAAAGCCTATAAATTACCTATTATTAATATCTTGTAAATAATTAAATTTAAATATATAGAGTGTTCATTAAGTAAGGAAACGGGTTTCTATTGTTCTCATTGTTTGTAACAACTGATATGTGTTCCTTACTTACTGAACATGTTGTATAATTAGTAGTTTATTTGACACTTAGTAAGATTTCAGTGTAAATTCAAATTAAACTTATCCGAATAGATTTTACGTATTGATACTGTAATTAAAATCACAATGAAATGATATTGACCAGTATTAATTATTAATTTTAATCATTAATACAGTAAATTAAAAAAAATATTATTATCATGAGGAATAACTAAATAGGTAAACTAAATTTACAGAAATATTACTACTATTTTTCCACTGTACCGATTATTTAAGAAATGCTTTATAGTCTATTTGTATCAGACTATAAAGCATTTTTTAAATTATCGTAACGGATATGATTAAAAAAAATATTTCATTTATAAAAAACAGTTGACCGAAAAGTCAGTAACACGAACAAAAAATAAATTTAAAATATTTAAAGCAAGTAATTAATATATTCAGACAAAACCTATCAGAATTAACTAAACACCAAAAAAAAACTTTTTATTTTAGATTGCCATCACAACAAATAAATGTTGTAATAATTTTATATCATGTGTAATACGATATCAATACAAATATTATTAAATGAAAAGTATAATACTATACTTTGAATTTATACTCTATAAATTTATTAATCAAAGAGTTCCTACAGAGATAATAACAAGGTCGATGTATTTTGAATGTATATGATAGGGTAAAAAATGTATGTACAATACTATAATTATTGAAAGGAATTTCTATGCAGAATTTTAAAATGATTTAATCCTACAATAGTAGTTAAAATTGAATAAGGTATTTTAAAATGAAATCAAGATATTCAGAAAATAATCACCATAATGATTTTATGTCTAGTGATTATATTTAGTTGTCGTGAAGAGATATAAATCTTGACGAAAAATGTAATAATTGTCTCTTTAATAACAATTTCTTTACCATTTATGTACAAAATATTATTATCAAAAGAATAATTACTATAAATAAGAACAGCTAAATGATGTATTAGAATAGTTAAGGATGTGTTAACGATTTCATGGACTCTTTCATTGGTAAAACGTGAAACATAGTTTACCAGTAAAATAAGTATATTCATGTATCGAAAAATATTATTAATTAAATTAAATTAACAGTTGTAAATTAATCTCGCTTTTGAAAATCAAATACATTTGTTACATAAAATAACATTTGGTTACTATATTATTAAATATAATACATTTTTAATGAAAAATTAACTTTTTTTTTTTTTTTTATTAGAAAAACAATTGTACAATTTAAATTTACAATAAGTTTTTTTTTTGACACTTTAAATAATGACATTAAAAACATTAAAGGAAGTCGCCCATTGGTAACACCTTAATTAGATAATTTAAGTTATACTTTTGTTAAAATTATATTGTTGGCGTTGTTTTGTTAAGTTAATAGGTCACGGTTCCAGTTTCGTTTGAGTCGACGTGGTGGGTTATCAGGTATTGTAAAAGTATGCATTTTTTTTATTAAAGGGTTTATGTTTGTGTTAAGTTCGAGCAGAATCTAGTGTAGTGTAACGCAGTGAGTTTTTTGAAAAAAAAAAACTTTTAATTTATAACTATTTTTTTAATAAAGAATATTTTTTGATACATGAATTTGTGACATGAACATAGTTTATTCGTTGTAATGAATTGACTGTATAAAATAATAAAATATGTTATTTGTATTAATAGAGATAGAGTCGTTTAAACTACAATAGTTCTTATGTCAGTATTTACAGATTTTCAAGATGATAACAAAACAAATTTTAATAATATAGTTTAAAAAAAAATGATAACTTTATTTTGATAACTCTCATTGGAATTATAAGTCTCACAAAAAAAGTTCAGAAAAATTTTTTATCATTATAAACAAAAATCTCATATTGTCAAAATTTGGGATACGCTCTGCGTAGTAATTATTTAGTTTTACTTATTCAAAAAAATCTTACTAAGATAAAATTTTATATTAAACATCATATGTTTTTTATTAATGTCATTGCTTAACAATACTTTTATATAAAGAACACATGAATTTAAGAAGTCAAAATTGTAATCCAAAATTTTTTTTTAATAATATTAAATATAACAAGATATTTATTATTGTTCTACTGCAGCATTGGCCACTATACTTGGACTGTTAATGACTTCTCCCAAACAATCAAGTAATTCTTTTCTGTAATCATCAAAATCACCATCTACTTCATTTATTGTTTGATCTTCAATAACCCAAAGGGTACAATCTGTATCTCTTATTAACCGTTCATCGTGTGAAACAATTATTACACCTGTTATAAGGTCATATTAAAGTAAACAATGTCTCAATTGTGAGATAAAATCAAAAATCTCTTTTATATACTTAACAATTTTGAAATATAGCTAAATATATTTTCAATTTACATAAAAATAATTTTCTAAGAAAAATAGTACATTCATTTGTCATAAATGGCTATTTTTTTTTTTTTTTGTATAATGAAATTATTATTATATTATTTCAAAATTATAAGACATAAAAAAATAAAAATAGGAGATTGCTGACTTTGCCTTGCAATTATACAGTAGTTAATAGTAATTATTACCTCCTTTATAGTCATTAATGGCATCGGCTAATGCATCAATTGACTCTATATCTAAATTGTTTGTAGGTTCATCCTGTATAGTAAAAATATGAAAAATAAATAATTTAAAATATAATGTTTAACATGATAATGATACCAAATATTACCAATATAATAACATCTGGAGCATTTAAAGTAAGTTCTGCTAAAGCCACGCGTGCTTTTTGCCCACCAGATAAATCTTTCATGCGAATTATATGAGCATGACTTGCTAATCCAAATGTACCCAATTGTTTTCGCGCCTTCTCATAAGGTAAGTTGAATAATCTCATTAAATATTCTGCTGGTGTTTCTTCAGCTGTCAAGTGTTCTCCAGAGTGCTGATCATATTTACCTAATTTCTACAATATTTTCCAAAAATATTAGATTTTTATTAAATTAAGTAACATGCTTATCAAATTTTTACCATTCTATGATTCATTCTCATCTCCCCTTCAGTTGGTTGTAAATCGCCTGTTAATAATTTTAAAAATGTTGATTTTCCTACACCATTAGGACCAACAATAGCTACTCTTGAACTTAAATCTACTCCAAAATCAACATTTTTAAACAAAGGTTTTTGGTTTGGATAAGCAAAATTAACACCTAAGTTATTAAACATTAAAGTTTGCTACAATATTATAATTGCAATACAAAATTTATATTAATTAATTGTAGACATACTGTGTAATCCTAAAATAGGTGGTTGAAGAGGACTAGGATCAGGGAATGAAAACTTCACATTATAATCTTTTGGCTTCTGTAATAACTGTGAAGGTTCTATAGTGTCATCCATTTCAGTTTTATTGCCTTTTCCAGCTCTGTTCTTTTCTTGTTTTCTTGTAAGTACTTCTTTTTGTTTTTTTTCCTAAATGTATTTTAAAATCAAATGATCAGACAATTTACGTTTGATAAATTTTATAAAAAAAAATTTTTTATCATAACATGATTATTATATATTATAAATTTTTAAAAGTATTGCGCGTAAAAATAAATAATGTGTAGGATTAGGCATATAATTTCAATTTGCCATTTTTTTCCTTCAAATTTATAGTTATATATTATTGCATATTACAAATAATAAATGAAACACTAATAAGAAAATATCAAAATTATGATTATAAAACTTTTTTATAGTATAAAAAAAAAGCCTACAAAAGAAAATTTTCATATAATCAACATGAAAATAATTTTTTTCTCCATAAAAAAAGTGAACTTTAATAACTCATGCCTTTTTTTACATACACACCATCCAATTATAGGCAAAAAAACATAATTACCGCTTGTTTTTTAGATTGTCCTTGTTGTTTCATTTCTTTTAGCCTTTTTTCTTGTTTTTCATACTCTTTAATTATTTCCTTTTTTTTTTGCGAATACATTTTTTTAAACATACTATAATTTCCTTTATAATAATACAAACGCTTAGAATCTAGATGTATAATTTCATTACAAACATTATCCAAAAAACTTTGATCGTGAGATACAACTAAAAGAGTTTTCTTCCATCCTTGTAAATAACTATAAAATTATAAATTTACCTAACATAGTAATTATTACAAAAAATGCATAGTTATTATTTAATTTAAATATTTAATCTTATATATTAATTCTTATATGTTAATAATAAAAACTAACTTATTTACAAATTAAAAATTAAAGTAGTAAATGATACCATTTTTATTATTAATGTTACATTTCTACAACCCGCAGTGGGATTCATAAAGGTCACGGGTTAAACAACCCCTGGAACCCTAGTTAACTTAGTTGGGGTGGCAATACATACCACTGCTCTTAATCGGTCATTACTTTTGTTAAATAGGACCAATAGTCCTGGGCATTCTTACTTGCTAACAGCAAATAGGCCTTCATAACACAACCATACAAGAAAAAAGGGTTGCTAACTTATCTCAGGGTAATTAGCTGAAAGGTAAAGTAACCATAGATTCTCTATGGAACTTGACATACCACAGAGTTACAGTGTCACAGTATTGAGCATTGCTGTAATGGACTTTTATTTCTCGACTCCACTTGGGATAATATTCTATTAGATGTCTTGATCTGATGGATCAAAACAACACTTATTACAGCCAGAAAAGAAATTAAACGCATTTAAAGAATGGCTTCTATAGCTATTACCAGGGAACAGTGGCGTGATGAAAAAGCAGACTTTCTAGAGAGGAAAGCGCAGAAAATACCTATGTTGGACCAGAACAGGTGGTAGGACTCATGGAGTAATCCCTCAAAATATTACCCAAAAAATGATGTAGAGAATAACACAAGAACATATGGTAATAGTGGTACCCAGACAATCAAAAATGTTTATTTTTTACCCCATTGACTTGTCAATCATAGTACTAAGCTCTGTTGTTGTGAACCTTTCTTCGCTTGTGCGAACAGAATAGATATACTACATCTTGTAAAAATCAGGTATCCAAGTAAAGGAAAGAACAAGGGTGAAAACAATGAAACTCAATAAAACTAAACACATTTCACCTTAGTGATAACCCAATTATAAAATTCATTATGGGATGTACATAAATAAATATAAAGTTTAAGTGCATATGCAGAAACTAGTCCCCCTTTTTAATAACTAAAAACTTAAGTTTTAAACAAAAACTACTAAATTCTTGCAATAAACCAATAATTTAATATAATAATTGTTTCTTTTAAAATATTACTTGTCTAGCCAAATAACTGCATTAAGATCTAAATGGTTAGTAGGTTCATCAAGTAACAACAAAGTGGGTTCTAGAAACAGAGCTCTAGCTAATGACACTCTCATTCTCCATCCTCCAGAAAAATCTTTTGTAGCACGATCTTGCATAGCTTTTGAAAAACCCAGACCAGCTAGAATTCTTCGAGCTCTGGGTTCTGCAGAATCAGACCCAATAATTTTCAACTCATCATATACCTAAAACAAAAAATTGTATTATAATATAACTACAGTTAAAAATTTACGTAATTTTAAAACTATTTAAACACATACTTCATTTAATCTTTCTGTAACACTTGAATCACCATTTTCTTGAACTTCTTCTAGTTTCTTACACTCAGCAAGAAGTTCTGTGCACCTGACATCAGCTTTTAAAACTGAATCTACAGCAGTTGTATCATCAGCAACAACTTCTTGTTCACAATATAAAATATCAATATTTGGAGGGATATCAAAAAGTCTTTCAGAAATATGTCGAAGTAATGTAGTCTTTCCATGTCTATAGTTTTAATAATAATTTTAAACAATTTTAGTGTTTGTTAAATGTTCCCACAATTTTTTCAATCTCCTTTTTTTTTTTTTTTAATTTAAAAAGTTTAAATTTAAAAAGCTCATGTATAGTAAAAATAATTAATATAACACAATTTAAATATAAATTAAAACAAATGACACGTCCAGTCATCAAAACAGTACCATGTCACAATAAAAACAAAAAATAAATAAATCAATATTACAATTATTCAGAATGTATAAAAATTTATTAAAATAAAAGTTTAGACAGTAATTAGTATGTTGTATGAGCATATAAAATGTACATTACGCTTTGAAAATTAAATAGGGACTATAAAATTTGATAAAAATTCTAGTAAGTAAATAAAATAGCTTAAAAATGATAAATATAGACACAGGTTTAGCTTCATAAGAAAATTATAAAAATTTAACAATGTTTGATATGATATACAAAGTTATACAGGTGTAAGAAGATCAAACAGTTAAGCTGCAGTTAACATTAATAATTCTTAAAAATAATAAAGAGTTTTCAACACTTGATAGAATTTTTTCAGTTTTTATTTATAATAGGCCAGTCAACAAAGGAGTAATTTTGGCGAATGGCGGAAAAAATTCCCTACAACATACTAATTACTGTCTAAACTTTTATTTTAATAAATTTTTATACATTCTGAATTTTTCCTTTGTTAACTGGCCTATAAATGCTAGTATAAAATATACTTCGTTTTTGCACATAAATAAAGTATATATTAAGTAAAAATAATGTATCAAAATACATCTAGGGGTCAAAAATGACTTCTAGATCATTATTTTGAAACACTCTGCCATAGTTGCTGCAATTTATCTCCAAGGTAGTGTAATAAATAATTAATTTTTAAGTTGAACAAGCTTTAAAATATAATTAATTACCCATTTGGTCCAACTAAACCATATCGACGACCTTGTGCAATCAATAAACTAGCATTAACAAACAAATCATTTCCTTTGGCAGATATACTAAAGTTTTCTATTTTGATATCAACAGCATGTTCAAGAGCTGCCAATTGACCTGCTGTTTTTTGTATTTGTGATACAGAGAAGTTTGATCCTAGTTCACTATGACCCTGACCCCCTTTTTTAGTCATTGTGTCTAAATGTTTTTGAAATTCTAACTAAAATAACATTTCATTTTAAATAATAAAGTGCTTTAATTTTTTATTACCTTTATTTATTAAATACAATTGACAAATTGTATGGCAAAGCCAGCATCTCTCATTTTTATTTTTTTATTTTATAATTTTGAAATATAAATATAATCATTTTAATATAAAAGAAATATAGCTTTTTATGGCAAATCATGTATTATTTTTTTAGAACATCATTATTTTTGAAAATTGATATATATTTAGATGTATTTCAAAATTGTAACATATAAAAAAGTAAAAATTAAAAAAAATGTCTTATTCTTCTAATTGAACAATGTTTGAGTTTTTGACACATAAGATGTTTTTCTAAAAGACTTACTTCTTTTTTAAGTTTTTTTTTTTCTTTGTGCGATATTTTTTCAATTTTTACTTTTTCCTCAACTTTGTTATCCATTTCTTTTTTATCTGTAAAAGAAAATCATTGTTGATCATAAAATAGGTAAAATCATGGTTATATAAAAAAGTTTGCTATTTTCAATAATTTCAAAATGAGACCAACAGTACCATTATTAATATAGTTGTTGATTAAAAACAAATAAATAGATCACAAACTGTTTTTTTTTAGTTCAATGTGTTTTCATATATAATGAAAATTATACAGAAAGATATGTCAATCGGAGGATTTAAATTTCTTAAAATAACTTTTTCTATAATTTAATTTAAAAACTTTGATTAAAAAATTTTTCTGAAGTTAATAATTTCATTATCGAATAAAGTATTATCAATAGGCATTTATTATGGAATATTAAAAAAAATTAATTAATCTGTTTATGATTTATACTCAATTATATTAAATAATATTTTATTGAATAAAATGCAAAATAAATTTTTGTTTTATAATACTGCATAATTCATCTTGTTTATTATTTTGAAATGTATATACATTTTACAGTTTACCCTATTTACGGAGAACGAGCGAAATTTTTTTCAATTTTGAGGGTAATGTCTTCGACTACATACGATTTGTGATCTTTTGACGCTGCGCAGTCAATAATTTTAAAATATAATCGATAGGGGCACTAGTCGACAAAAAAAATCTACGAAAATGGTCTAAAACATATTTTAAAAGAATGTATTTTACTCACTCTGTATTACATTTAGAGCTTTAACACCTATTACAAAATTGAAAGAAGACAATATTTTGACGACAATCTCATATCCATTTTGGGATTAACCTAATATTAAGCTTGATAATTGAATTTGAAAATGTACTTTTTTATTAAACTTCAATAAATTGTAACTCTTTACTAATACAATATATCCAAAACCGAATATGAGATCATCTCCAAAATATTGTTCTCTTTCGTTTTTATAATGGGTGTTATTGCTCTAAATGCAGTATTTAGTGTGTAAAATGTATTTTAATAAGACATGTTTTTACGCTCTAAAATTGGCTGTTTAATGTTCTCTTAAGAGGAAAANTATAATGGGTGTTATTGCTCTAAATGCAGTATTTAGTGTGTAAAATGTATTTTAGCTTCGATGCAAATTTGAGAAGGTATTAATTTTACCATGATGTGTGTTATTTATCTATTTTTTTATATAATTTCATAATTCATGTAATTACAAATCTAAATACAAACTTAACATGATTAAAAATAAAATTTAGCACTTTTTGTGAGATTGTAAAACAATTTTACTATAGACCACGTACAAAAGTACAATTTAATATTACGATATCTCAGCGCCATGATTATAATTGGAATTGCGTTAATAACAGACGATGTTTACCTTATTATAACAAGAGTTATCATGGCTATTTTGTAATTTTGTGTTGTTTTTAAAACCTATCAATGTAAAAATATCCAACTAAATAAAAAATGTTTCCTATTTCATAATCACTATTCATATTTTCACTAGAGCACTGAAGACTAGGTCCCCTTTTGCATGGTTTTACTATTTAACATATTTATTTTCACTATTATTTATATAATAATAAGTACATTACAAAAACATATTTTTCAATATTTGTCAGTCACATTTTAAATGGAATATCTAATTCTATAAGACAAAGAATTAGTGGACCTATCTATATAACTAGATATTTCCCAGCCATACTCTTCCTCCCACTTGGTTATAAAAATATTAAATATGATTAAAATGATGAATTAAAACATTTTTTTTTCTTTTAAAAGTATCATTATTATCTTGAAATTACATCATAAATGCAATTAAATTTTTTTTTTTAATATTTCATTGTATCTTTGAAAACATAAATTATTAATTTTTATATATGAAAACGTTATTAAATGTGTAATTAGTAATTTATCACGCCCATTTAATACTTAAATTTTTATAATTTAAATTTATAAATATTTATAAATACAAAAAATTGGTTGCCAATAGTTTGATTGCTGTGGCTTATCTATTTGTATTTAATCTATACCCGTATGCATAGTTCAAATGTGCTAAATAATAAAACTTATATGTTACATGTAATGTAACTAATAAATTATTTATGTCCCCAATAAAGGGCTTATGGGTTACCAAAGATTTTACCTCAAATAGTCAACATTTATGTGTCTGATAATTTTGAAAGTAAAATCATTTTTAAAGCATCAATATGTTTATATCAATTATATTATCAATATTATTTTTTATTGATATAGATTAGATAACATTTCATCTAATCTAATAAAATCAGTAAATGTACATGGAACATAAGGGTGTTATTTTAATACCACTAACTGTTTGATAGCTATTTATTTTACTTTCAAGAAATATAATCCACATTAAATTTATTTAGCACATTTTAACTTACATTTAGTAATGTGGATTCTAAAGTTCCTTTNTTAAGCAGGAAAAAATGATTGAAGAAATAATAAAAATCCTAGAAAAAAAACAAAAAAATACAGTGTTATGATATTTAAATAGCACCCAACCATTACTATATCAATTTTTGGCCTTGAATTTTTGTACATGACCTTATAAGGATATAATAAAAAAAATTTGCTAAAAAAAAAATTTTTATTAGTTGATTTAAAAATGGTACTTTTGGCCGGCTAAATCAGCGTTTGGTCCCACTGTGCGTCGTAACGCATTCACCCCACCCCGCTCACCAGTCGGCGTCAACACTATTTTTTTCTGTATAATTTTGAGTAAACGCCGCGGTGCAAAGTCCAGCAAGTGCCGCACGGCCGACGACGTACCGCCGCTAATGATACCGTAGTATTCTTCCTGTTGTCAAAGTGGTAACGTCAATAAACCGATCACCACTCGCGCACATCAACGCTGCTAACATTTTGACGCCCGAGGATCACGCTGGACATCGCGTCGTCGACGCCAACGAAAGTGCCACGATATTATGCGAAGATTATATATTCTTACCATCGCCGCTAATATTAATATATATATACATATATATATTATTATTTATATATACGTATATGTTAATATTCATTTATATATCCCTACAGCCGACGCCGCTGCCGCCATATATGCCTCGCGCCCCGCCCGCCAACAAAACACAGCTATACCTCGTGCATGATACGTTTACGTACTTAAGTCGCTTTACATGTATACATATATATTCTAATTATTATTAAAACTTATATATTAATATNATTACTATTAAAACTTATATATTAATACGCTTTATTCTCATTAAGAGATATATAGGGTATTTATTCCGATTACAAAGGATGATTCCCGTATCGTCATTTTACGTCACTACCTCCACGTTGCGTGCCTGCTGCTTTCCTTGGATGTGGTAGCCGTTTCTCAGACTCCCTCTCCGGAATCGAACCCTGATTCCCCTTTACCCGTTACAACCATGATATTGATAGTAACTACTATCATAACATGTAACTAAAAAGTGAAAAATAAATATAGTTTAAAAAAACTAAAAAACACGCTTTTAAAGAACATCGAACTAAAAAGTTAAAAATAATTTTTAAAATAAGCGTAAAACAATAATGAACGAAAAGTACTAGTATTATTGTGATAAAAGCGTGGGTGCTTTGTGCTATATTTTTCGTATATTGAGCGCCCGACGCTTTTATCACAATAATACTAGTACTTTTCGTTCATTATTGTTTTACGCTTATTTTAAAAATTATTTTTAACTTTTTAGTTCGATGTTCTTTAAAAGCGTGTTTTTTAGTTTTTTTAAACTATATTTATTTTTAACACGCTTATATTAGTTTCACATGTATGTTGTTTGTAAGTTTGTAACTCCACGTGACACGTGTTATTATGTTGCGTATCCCGTCGTGTATGACCTAGAGACTATACTGTTGTAACGCATTCGCCCCACCCCGCTCACCACTCCTAGAGAACAATATTTTCCAACCCNAAACAAAAACCTTAATTGTAGAATTTTAAAAAATTATCTCAAAATTGTTCTTTAATAGGTTTGCATGAGATTACTTACAAATATTATTATTATTTTTAAATTAATTTTTGAAAGTATTCTACAATATCGAAAAAACAATTTTTTTCTGAATTCTTCTACTTTGAAAAAATAGGAGTTAAAATTAATTAACATTTATTTTTTAAATTACTTTATTTTCATTTTTTTAAGATATTCTGGAATGATTGCTTTCTTTAAACCTGTATCAAATTAATGATTTTAAGAGTACTTTATGATAAAAAAAAGAAAAACGTTTTGACAATATTTTTTTAATAAAGTGACATTAAAATGCATTGTAATGTTTTTTGTTATGTGTCACATCCCCATTTTGCCGGGATATTTATATATTTTAAAAACTAAAAATAAAATAGAAACTAACAAAAATCTATACTATATATTAAATAAATATAGTTTAAAAAAACTAAAAAACACGCTTTTAAAGCACATCGAATTAAAAATTATTTTTAACTTTTTAGTTCGATGTGCTTTAAAAGCGTGTTTTTTAGTTTTTTTAAACTATATTTATTTAATATATAGTATAGATTTTTGTTAGTTTCTATTTTATTTTTAGTTTTTAAAATATATAAATATCCCGGCAAAATGGGGATGTGACACATAACAAAAAACATTACAATGCATTTTAATGTCACTTTATTAAAAAAATATTGTCAAAACGTTTTTCTTTTTTTTATCATAAAGTACTCTTAAAATCATTAATTTGATACAGGTTTAAAGAAAGCAATCATTCCAGAATATCTTAAAAAAATGAAAATAAAGTAATTTAAAAAATAAATGTTAATTAATTTTAACTCCTATTTTTTCAAAGTAGAAGAATTCAGAAAAAAATTGTTTTTTCGATATTGTAGAATACTTTCAAAAATTAATTTAAAAATAATAATAATATTTGTAAGTAATCTCATGCAAACCTATTAAAGAACAATTTTGAGATAATTTTTTAAAATTCTACAATTAAGGTTTTTTGTTTTTTTTTTTTTCAAATTTTTGTAGTTGATACCTTTAACTAGATTAAAAATATTTTTTTGACGCATAGATCAACAAAGCTGTTCTAGTTAGAGCTAAAAAATTTCACAGACAGACACAAAAAACAGCTTTACATTGATTCTAAAAAAGGAAATTTAGGCTAGCTTATCCTAAAATACATTTTTTGAAGATATAATGTAATTAAATATAACATTGTTACTTCTGATTAGTGATGAAGAAACAAATGGAAGAAGTCCACTTCACAAAGTTCATGGACAAATTTGATTTAATATACAATCTTTAATCAATGCTTACTTATATTAAATACTTCATTTGATTTGACATTTTCTAAAGAAACTTGTACAGGTAAATTATTTTCTGAAAAAGTAATAAATAAAATTAGTTATTATAAAAAATAAAATGATATTAATTATATGTCTATGAATTTAATAAGTATCCAATAATTTTTTGTAAGTAAAATAGTTTTTAGACTACTTTTTTCCTTACATGATTTTTTTTTAAAAATAATGTTGAAAACAATTAATTTTTGTGTTTGATAAGAATTGCTGTATAATATAAACATTATTTTACATTTATTGATATCACAATTTTCGATTTTTTTTACACTCATAATATTTTTTGTTTTAAAATTATTCATGTTTTTTTGTCTTGATTTTAATTTTAACTATTGGTTTAAAACATTTTAATACTCAGAATGGGATATATTTTTGGATGGTAGACTTTCAGCTTTGATGTGAAATTGAGAAGGTATTAATTTTACCGTGATGTGTTTTTTTTTTTGTGTCTGTCGCCATTTTTTCTAAGCTCTCAAAAGATAGATTTTTTCAACAATACAATAAAAGATCACAAATTGTATTGAGTTAAAAACATTACCTTCAAAATTGAAAATTTTTCCCTCATTCCCCATAAATAATGAAAATCCCACAAAAAAATTCTATTTTTAAAATCGGTATATTTAATTATTTTGCTTCTTCAAAGTTAAAAATAGTTTTTTTAAATTTTTGAAAACTTGAAAATCTGTATAAAAAATAGAACTTTTTCAACTAAACTTTTGAAAATATATACTGCGTCTTTTAAATATATTTTAAAATAAAGCTTATTTTATGTACTAGAAATTCAAAAAAAAAAAAAATTTGTACTGACGACCTTATTTCTACGTGGCTGTCGAAGTAAAACCAAAAATAGGAGTTAATTTTGCTTTTGGAATAATTCAACAATTTCTTAATTAAATACTATCAACATATTTGCATCGAAGCGTTTCTTATGATAGTGATTTTATTCACTGTCAGATATCATCTATACTTGTTCCAACTATGTCATGTCCATACTGTGCCACGACCTCACTGTGCTAACGTTTTTTTTAACAATTCTTCACACTTATTTTATGAAAATAATTTTTAATTTATTTAGTATAAATTAACTTAGATTACCAATAGTATTAATCATTTGAACTTCATTAGTTTTTGTGACATCTTCAGAAGTTTGAAGTGTACTTGCATCTTCTAGATAAATTTTTTCATTAGATGAAATTTCATTTTCATAAGGACCTAACACAAGTTATTAAGATAATGTTGAACTATATTATAAAACATAAAAAAATTATTAAAATTAGTTTTAGAAAAAAGTTGTATTTTTAAATAAACTTATCATGGAGGAAGATAGAAGGAAAAAAAATTTAAAGTGAGTTTTATTTTTATTTTGCATACATTTTTTTCCTTATAACTTAATAATTAGATCCTTTACTTTTTTAATTCAATTACAAGATGAATGTGTTCGGTTTCATTGAATCTTTTATCACCAATATTTTAGGTAATGAAATAGCAGAGAAATTCACTACTTTACCCACCTCTCACTTTATTTCTAATATACCTTGGTCTGATTTTCTTTGTTTCTTTCATTTAATTGTTTTCAATGACTGACAAGAAAAATGGTCAACTATAAATCTAAGTACTACTTACTGATACTGTTTAAGATCCCTTATTAATATGTCCTACCAACTGATATCAATGTTAAGTGTTATTGAGATACATATTATTTTCCTATTCCAGATTTAGCCACAATCACTTCCTGTGTCCATTTCTTCTGAAATTCTACCCCTTTTTGTCCACTACATAAAAATTTATCTCTTTCTAATTATCCTCATATTCTTCTTGACTGTCATACATTAAATAATATTACATTTTTTCTTATTAACTTTCTTACTTCTGTTCTTATTATATACTCAATTTCTTCTTTCTTCAAAAAAACTTCTCAGAAACTCTGGATTTTTAATTTAAATATTTTTGCTAATCACTGTTTTTAATTTTAATTTTAATGATTCAAAAAATCATCACGACTTACTCTTATCAGACATCTTATTACTAGTAATTTCAATATTATTTAATTCTTCATCTTTTTTTGGTAGACCGTCTTTATCAATAATATCATCTAGACCTAATTATTATTTTGTGATTAATATAAATATTACAAATTTATTAAAAATAAAATTAATACCTTCATCTTCATCAAAATCCTTTTGTTTCTTTTTACTTTTTTGTGGCTGTTTTACACTAGATTTGGGTTTACTTGATACTGTTAGATTTTTAAATTCTTCACTAGGTACATCCTCATTATCATGGTCATTGTCTACAGTTATAATATTCATTAAATTAATTGGTTAGAAAAAATTTTATTTTACTTGTTATAAAAAAAAAGGCAATACTTTCAACAAAGGTTTAAACAACTAAAATTATTTCCTTAGTGATTATGTTTTTGATTAGTTTCTTGTAGTTTTTGCATATCATTATGCATAATAAATAAGAGTAACTCAAAAAGTTTGATTTTGACATTATGAAGTATTTGTATTTAGGTAATACTCTTCTTATTATACCTTTTACCAAAATATCAAGAATTTGGTTTGAATTAAAATTAAACTACTTAGAAAATTGATAAAGATAAAAGGGGTAATTAGAGAATAAATATTCCTTATAATAAAAATTGATCACTTGTGGCTAATTAATTAAGTAAAATTAAAACTATGTGAATGTGTCAGTATGTGTTTAGCGTTGATAATGGTAACATTGTTTCCGAAATACGTATCCGCGACTTTTCATTAATTTTTTTGTGGCTTTGAGTTTAATATTTTTAATATTTTTTAGTTTTTTAAATTAATAATATTTTTAATATAGTTTTAATTTTACTTAAATATTCCTTTTTAGAAAAAATTAGCTAATTGTCTAAGTAAAATTTTAAACAAAATATATATACCACAAAAATTATTTAAAATTTCAAAACAGTATATTTTACATATATATTGAAGGTTTCTTTATTACACAGTACATCATTGGATGTTTTATTATCCATTAAATATTCTTCTAAACATAAACTTTTATGAATAATAATTAATTAATTAATTAAAAATGAAAACAAACCTTCCTCGTCCATATCAAATTCTTTTTGTTTTCTTTTATTTTTTTTTGATACTTTTCCAGTAGTTTTGGATTTATTGAACTCTTCAGGTTCATTATATTCTTCTTTAGGTAAATCAGTAATTACATCACCATTATCTAGAGAATAAATATAGACAATAATAAATTAGTATAAAATTTAAGTACATATTTAAAAACAAATTAAAATTCATTATTTAAGAAATATCAAACCTGAGTCATCTCCCCAGTCTTGATTTTTATTTAGTTTTTTTGTCTTCTTTGGAACTTTTTTAGATTTAACAGGTTCATGTTCAACTTCATAATTTTCTTTAGTGATTGTACTTAGTATATCAGTAACTTTTTCATCTATAATATAATATGTGAATTTGATTTCAAACTTAAAATTAAAAATAATAATTATTGTTATAATTTATAATTATACAAAAGCATAATATTATGTTAAAGCGTTATAATATTATAGATAAAAAATAAGTTTAAAATAATCAAGAGAGAATGCATATAATCTATATTAACTTTTACACTGTAGTAGTTTATATAAAATTATTGGACTTTAAATTTTACCTTTGTCGCTATCCCAATCTTGATTTTTTGTTTTTTTACTTTTTTTTGGTGGCATATTATAACGTTGAATTTTGATAATTACAATATTAAACAATAATTTTAAATTTATTTATAAAATCGTAACGTAAATACCTATTAAGAAAAAAGAGAAATTTTTTGATATAACGATGTGAAATCACGTTATTATCAATATTTGACGTTGATAAAAAACGGCCATAAAAGATATCATAATATCACAATGATAAAGTTTTTAATCAAATCTTTTTATTAGTGATGGGCATAATCGAATGATTTCGATAATCGAATGATTAGTAATCGAGACATTTTCATAATCAAGTGAATCTCTCGAAAAATCACTCGAAGTTAAAATCGTCTGCTCGTATGATAAGAATAATCAACTATTATTATTTATCGAGAGAATCGAAAAATTATACGAAATATGAATAAATATACCTATAGTAAATAATTATTAATTTAATTTTGCTTTTTTTATTTGTTGGTGTTTAATAAGGTAGCAATAGCCGTCTTGACCATCATAATTAAAACACCTGATTCCACACCTAATTGATTTTTCATAAATTCACAACTAGTGAGAGAATCAGAACTCAGTAGTTTAGCCAGTTCAGGACAAAATTTTGTTCTAATCGTCACATACTTCCAAAAAATGTGACAGATAAAGTGTTGTCATGAGTAGCGATTGAACGAGTTGAAAATAAGAAGACTCGAAGTCAACAATTTAATAATAATTCGACTATAATTTATGCTAAATAAAAACTTAAAAATAGTATTCTCTCGTTTCATCGTTTCATGGACATCATTCGAAATAACTTTTATTCGATTATACATATTTCAAGATCAAGAAATCATTATTTTTATAATAAACGAGAAATCATTAGAAATAATCACTCGATTATAGAATAATCAATATTATTTAAAAAATCAGAATATCTCGATTATATAATAGATATGATTTCAATAATCGAAATATCTCGATTATGCCCATCACTACTTTTTATTTGAATTAATTATTATGGGTGGATAACTTATGTTCCGAAAATTTTTGTTCCAACAAATTTATTGAACAAAAGGTATCCATTTATTATTAAAGAATTTGTCTATTATATTATTATGTAATTACATCAATAAGTGTTATGATGAAATAAAATTTTCCATTAGAGAAATATTCTTTTTCAGTGATAACCTGCGTTACGATATTTTCCCTTTGTTTTAGTAAACAACTCTTTATTTAAACCACATTTTGATTAATCTAAATAACTTTTTCAAAATCACTTACATAAATGTTTTTCAGCTTTGATTTTTTTACCACTATTTTATAAACTCTAATTGGAATGACAGAGAAACTATTATTTAAAATTTATTGGATTCTTAGTCTAGTAATTTGTATTATTAGTCCTATGCAAGTTCTAGCAATGCTGGTGTATCTTTACACAAAACGATTCAAAAGGTTTTTATAACCTTCGTGTTTCTGTTTCCTCATGTAATAGGCTTTTGAAATTTAAAATATAGATAAGACAAATGTTCATAACACTAAAAAAATAACTTTATGTTACGCCATTTTAAAATATAAAATTTAATTTTTGTTATCGACTGACTGATTAGTTTGTCATCTAATTTCCTTAAAAGAAAACTTGGCATATAAGTCTTAGAGTATAAATAAAAGGAAAAATCTGATATCATCTGGCTTAAGCTAGCAAAAATAATGATATTCTCAACTAATTATAATATATATATATATATTGACGATGAGTTCGTCGTTCAAGCTCTTCTCGAGTCCTCCCGTTGGATAAACTGATCAGCCCCAATCCCTCTAATTAGTGAACTATTAAAGAAGTAGAGTTTAGACCCGTCAGCACAGTCTAGCTCAAAAGTAGCAGACTGAAGGATGGCTCCTTGTCAGCCACCAGCACAACTACCTTTTTACTATACCCACTAAAGGACGGTTAAGCCCAAAAACTAGCCAGCTCGTACACTAATTATTAAGATTGACTAAAGGACCAGTAGTCCAACCTTGACTCTAGCCGCACACACACACACAATTCTAAGAGCACGGTGAATATAAAATATTTGTGCTAAGCCCAGATTTTTAAATAGTTATTTTATTTATGAAACGTATTAAACACAAAGTCAAAAATAATATAAAAATTTAACACAAAAATTAATTAAATCTTACAAAAATATAAAAATATAAAGTTACTCTGACACCAACGACCTAACCCGTAAATCGAAGTTTCTTCGGCAAAACGTCCAGTCCCTATACTATTCATGTTTCCCTTTTATATTTTTTTTTCCACCATTATTAATTTGCTTACCCTGCATTTCCCTTTTATATGGAATTATTATGTTGCTTAAGAGTTCAAAAATTGCTTACTACTATTGTAAAGCTTATATTATACTAAAATCGACGTAATTCAATACTTCCTCAGATATTTACTACACTGTATATTTATAAATTTATTAATTTTAAGATTTAAAAAAAAATCATCATTATTTTTATTTGCAGAGTGATTTTTTTAACGCTAGCCAAAAATTTAAGTGGGAATTTTAGCATTATAAAGTTGAAAATATTAAATAAAAATTAATAATTTTTTTACAAAAATCGTATTTTTAATTAACTTTGATATCTATTTTCACTATGAAGACAAAATAAAGTTTGAAATTTTATTTTCATATTTAAGTATATTACATACGCTCTAATTTAAAATAATATAAATGTGCCAGTATTTAGGGAACATTTTCGAAAATTGAGCTGAAAAAATTATCATTTTGAATCTACCACTGTGGGCATGTTGGTCAGATTTACAAAAAAAAAATATACCAAATGATAGGTAAATATCTAATGTACCTATAAAAGAAATTGTTTCTATTCATCTATTTTTCAAAAAGTTATGACAGTTAAAAAAAAAAAATTGAAAAAATTACCGAATTTTAAATTTGTAATTAAATAAATTAAAAGTTAAATAGTTGTTAACAATATTGCCGAATATACCAAAATCCCATCTTTGTGATATATCTGATTGTACTAAACAGTCACAGATTTTTATACTTTAAAATTAATTTTTGGAATTTATTCAAAGATATGTTATAAACATAATTTGTTTAAATTGTAGTATTATTGTTTAAAACATGTTTTTGAATAAATTTATGAAAAAATTAATGGTATTGAAACTATGTTCTCTTTTTCTAATTTAATAAGATCAATTTGAAACAGAATTTTGTTAAATGTAAAATTCATTACTTCAATGAGATACGATTTTTGATCTTTTGACGTATAGTTGAAAAAATTGTTTCGGTGAGAGCTGAAAATTGATGAGTAAAACTGATATCTTCTCAGCTACGCTTCGAAACTAAAAAAAAAAGAAACTCATTTAACATGAGTGAGTAAGACAAAAAACGCTGAGAAAATTATTAATAAATGTGTTTTATCTTGGTAAAATGCAAATTATTTTATTTTTTATTTAGATAATTTTCCCCCGAATATCTTTATCTCATTTAGTTGAATTTTAATTCGAATATGTATATTGAATCTAGATGACTTTTTGATTATCTATTTTCCCAACACAAACCTTCACATTCATATCTATTATGAATTTTTTGGGGGAAATAAACTATCCAGTGTAACATTTCTTATAAAATGCTTAAAACTATTTGTTAAGTTTAGCACCAATTAGGTGGCGCGCTCTCTATGCAACACCGACACTTACTCCCAGTCCGGCTCACATAGTCGGTCTGCGTCTTTCTACCTTTCTTCCCTGTCAATATAATATTGGCAATATTTATAATATTAAAGAAAAAGTTATTATATTATTAATAAGGTTACGTTTGTAATTCGAAGTGAACTCGGTACTTTTGTATAACTTTTTTTTAATGTGAGAGCAGATCTTTTTTTTTTTTTTTTTTTCGGGCTTTTACGAGCCATTTAGACTCTTGGCCGCCAAAACTACTTCCTTCCATCGTTCTCTATCATATGCCTGCTCCAAGTCCACTCCAATTTCTTCTAATAATTCCTTGACGCTGTCCTTCCATCTTTTTCGCGGTCTTCCCCTTGGTCTTTTTCCGCTTACCATATATGTCATTGCTCCTTTCAATATACTTCCATCGGCCCGCCATGCGTGGCCTGCCCATTCTATCCTAGTCCCTCTGGTGAATTGGACCACATCTTCTCTTTTGTAAAGCTGGTACAGTTGGGCGTTTGTTCTTATTTCCCATTTCTGTTCTGTATTGTTGAATACGGGTCCATAAATTTTTCTAAGAACTTTTCTCTCAAATAACCGTAGTTTTTCATCATCACCTCTCGTTGTTGCCCATGTGGCACATGCATATGTCAATATAGGGCGGATGTAACTAACGTATAGATGTTCTTTTGTCTTCCTTGACAGTAGCTTAGATTTAAAGAGGGTTTTCAGTGCATAAAGGCATCGGTTAGCAGCGCCCAGTCTGATATTGATCTCTCCATGCATGTTGTTTTGGTTATTTAGGGTAGACCCAAGGTACTTGAACTCTTGTACTTGTTCAAAGGTGTTATTTCCGACGTGGAGGTTGTTATGGTCACCCCCTCCTCGCTTCACCACCATGTATTTAGTTTTACCACTGTTGATTGTCAAGCCAATACCTTTTCCCACCTTTATCAGTTCTTCGACAGTATTCTGAATACCTTCTCGCGAATTCCCAATAACCACTATGTCGTCTGCATATGCTAGTAAGACATTTCCTTCGTCAAGGTTTAATGTCTCAGTTCGTGGAACCTTTCTTATCACACTCTCCAATGCCAAATTGAAAAGCACTGGTGACATCGCATCCCCTTGCTTCAATCCACTATTTATTATAAACGAAGACGATACCTCGCCGTTCACCTTGACTCGGCTGCTGGTGTATGTGTTACATAGTTTCACCATGCTGATCAATTTGTTTGGCAAACCAAAGTCTTTAAGAATTTTCCATAGTTTTCCTCTATTTATGCTATCATATGCTTGTTTGTAATCCACAAAAACCATATGTAGATCTTTCGCGAACTCATAACTTTTTTCCATAATTTGTCTTATGACAAATATGTGATCAGTAGTTGATTTATTTTTTCTAAATCCGCTTTGGTAATTACCCACTATCTCATCTGTATAAATTTGTAGTCTTTTAAGTATGATTAATGAAAGTACCTTATACCCAGTG